ATTCGACAAGGTTATCAGGAGAATTCTATGGTACAAACTATTAAAGAGTGGTATAAGCATGAAATTTGTTTCAATCATAAAGGCAGTCTATGAAACTGTTCGTCTACGAATTTGCACTGAGGGTGAATTTTCAGAGGCTTTTGATAATTTCTTGGGAGTGAAACAAGGTGAACCATTATCACCTCTGTTGTTTTTATTCTTCGTGAATGACATTATTCAAGATATTCCAATGGACAATAATAATGAAGTTTTTAATATCAGTGGATATCTGATATATTTAGTTTTGTTTGCAGACGATACCGTCCTGTTCGGAAATCTGCCGAAACATTACAAGTCTTACTAGAAAAACTTTCATTTTATTGTAAAAAGTGGAATATTACTGTTAATACTGACAAGACAAAAGTAATTGTTTTCAGAAATGGTTGGCAACCTGTTAATAACTGCTTTTTCTTTGACAACCAGGAGCTAGAAATTGTAAATTCATATGTATATATAGGCATGTTGCTATATTTCAATGGAAAGTTCTTACACTCACAGAAGAGGATTTCTCAGCAAGGAGCAAGGGCACTTTCTTCCTTATTCGACACTCTTAAGCGAGTTTATATTGAACATAGTCAAGCATGTTTTTTGTTTAATAGTATGGTGGCCTCTATACTTAACTATGGGTCTGAAATTTGGGGATTTCATCGAGCCAATGACATTGAACTCGTTCATAATCGTTTCTGTCGTTTTATATTAAAGCTTGGTAAAAATGTACCAATCGCCTTTTTATGTGGTGAACTTGGTCTTCTACCTATGTTTATTTTAAGGAAACATAGAATTATAAAGTTTTGGTTGCATATAATATATGATAAACCTAATATTGTATATGATATTTATAACCTCCTATGCATTGATGCCTTAAATGGTAAGAGAAACTGGGTTTCAAATGTTCGCGATTTATTATTTAGTTTAGGTATGAATTATGTATGGCTTGATCAAGAGAACATTAATGTAACATTTGAATATATAAAATGTCGTATAAATGATCAATACTACCAGAACTGGTTTGCTATTTTGAATGATTGTGAAAAACTGTGTTTATATAGGAAATTGAAAAATGAGTTTTGTTTAGAAGATTACTTAAAATATGATTTCAATAGTAATATACTCACTAAACTACGTAGTGGAACATTAAAACTGAATATAGAAGTTGGTCGTTTTGACAATATTGTAAGAGAAAATCGTATATGTATATGCTGTCATATGAATTGTATTGAAAATGAGTACCATTTTGTTTTAGTATGTCCTGCCTTTAGATCATTGAGGCTAAGGTTTTTACCAAAATTTTATTGTTCATGGCCAAATCATAGAAAGCTTGTATTTCTTTTACAGGCTAGCTCAAAGAATTTTACTAAAAAATTGTGTAAATTTCTTAATGTGGCATGGAAGTTAAGATTACAAATTATTATTGCACAACAGTTGTAGTTCTGTGCCTGCTATGACTTTATTGTGTTGTTCTCTACATGTTTACTGTCATTAATGTCATTATATATTATGTTATTTTGCTATAGCATTATGTTTGCTTCTGCAATAAAATATTCATTCATCCATTCATGCAACATAATATACTGCCAATCAAATTATAAATATGTATTAATTCAGTGATTCTTGTGTAAAATAATTTTAAAAGGTGTCAGTGAAATTTACACATATTAGATATGTTTTGTAATAATATGTTACAAATATATTGCAACACCATTTTGAAATGAAATAAAATACAAGGATAATTTACTATTTAAGATAAATTTTCAGTTGATTACTTTTTTTTCACACTTGAATGTAACAACACTTAAATAACAAACACATCTAACAGTTCCAATTTTAGTAATGCAATCATATATTACTAGCTCAATGATCCTCTTATGAATAATCTGACAAACACAATGAAACTGTCAAATTCCATATCATCTAGTATATTTGTTCAAAAAATCGAATAATAAATTTTACCTGTAATGTTTGTTATAAAAACTATATAGCTTAATCTTATGTTTCAAGGTTCCCAAAACAGCCATATTTCTGGATTTGGCATTTTTGAAAACAAAACTCTGGATAGAAATTCACTACAATATCCTACACAGAATATTTCTTTTGATTAAGAAAAACATTTGGCAGGTTTTGCTAATCATTTGGCAAGACTATTTTCCCAAACATTGGCACACTTTTCTGGTCATAACAGTGACGTAAGGGCTGCAGTCCTTTTGCACCAAATGTTATTTTTAAGATATATTGTTTGCACCAAATTGTCTGTATGCATATTTATCAAATGATCTATGTTTACCTGATAGATACATCAGATTTCAGCAAATTATGATACCTTAAATACAATACTCTATGGAATAAATAAGACTATTGTTGCATATAGTAGAATAGAGATTTATAAGGTGGTGTTGTACAACAAGAGTAATCTGCAAGCATATATACAGATGAACAGTGCATTACTGTTCTGATTGGATTTCTGTCATACCTTCACAAGATTAACTTACAGAAGTAAAATCATCAAATACTTTTGATACATGTATTTTCATGACTTGGGAGATTATTTTTTGTACAGCCAAATTAATCAATGAAAGATTGGTTTATCAAGGAGAAATTTAACAGTCCCATTGAATGAAATAAAAAAAGCAATAGCTATTGTATTTAATCAATGGGACAGTTCTCTTTGCAAATTTTAAATGGCTAGGTGAACATCAACTGTTTCTTTGGAAAGGTTTCATTCCCTTCACAATAGAAAATTCAGAAAAAGACAATCTGATGGACCGCAACATTGCTGATAAATTCAAAGTTGCTAGACCATGACATAGAGGGCAGTGTGTCAAAATGATTGTCAAACTGAGATGTACTGATAGTAATGCAACTTTATAGAAAATATCATCGTCTGTCATAAGCAGTTCCTATCAAACTAACTTAAGCAGAAAAATTAACATTGAAATTGCTAATTTATTTAAAGTCATTAGACCATGACCTAGGGAGCAGGGCCTTAAAATAAGTCATCAAACTTATATGCACTGATACTAATGCAACTTTATAGAAATTTCTAATTAATTCAAAGTCACTAGACTATGACCTAGAGGGTAGGGTCTCAAAATAGTCATCATTTTAATATAAACTGATAGTAATGCAACTCTATAGAAAATGTCATTGATCTATCACAAGTAGTTCCTATCAAACTGACTTAAGCAGAAAACCTAACAACTGTTGACGCTGCTAACGACGATGACACTGCCACTGCCACCTGAAAAACAACACCTATGTCTCACCTTTCGCAACTTTCGTGGCAGGCGAGACAAAAATCAGTTCATAAACTGCAACTCTATAATTCAACTAAGTAGACAACCAAAGCATGTAAAAAGGAAAGCAATACTACTAAATAACATTAAAAAGAATGCTCACGGTAACTGAGGCAAGCTCAAGTACTTTAATAATTTGATGATACATGCCATACTTTACTCTACAGTCAGCCCCTGTACTTTTGAGTTGATTTAATGAAGTAATGTCATAAACAGTGCAGAAGGTCATAGTAGCAATGCACAAAGCGTAATTTTATTATTTCCCCATATTTTGTATGTAATTGGTTCTTAAAAGTGTTTTCAAATTTTCTTAAGGTAGATGGGGTGTCTAAATTATAATCCATAGAATTTTTTAATAATTTATCAAAATGTAGTTTATATCATGCTTTTTTGAAAAAAATGATAAAAAGAATGGGTCACGGGGCTTATTTTCACGCTACAGGTTGTGCAAAATTGACAGATTTTGTATAGATTATGCATGGAAAACGCAATTTTCTGCCATAAAACGAAAACTACACCATAGAATTTCGAGATAAAATATGAGAAGATAGCTCTAACATTATACTTTCAGATAAGAAAAAGAAAAAATGGGGTCACGGGACCCGTTTTCTTGCTACATAATAAAATAGGTAAATTCCTAACACATTCTATTGTAAAAATAACTTTATCTGAATTATCTGCCCTTACATTTGAGTTGCCTCCCCTTATGTGGCAAAGTTGGAAAAAATTAATTCAAACAAAAGTATTCTGTTTTTTGTAAAATACAACCATAAATATAATAAAACATGTCATTTTCTATATTAAAATGAAAATTCTTACATATGAATTATCCACTACTCTCAAAATTTGCACATTTTATTAAAGATCTAGACCGATTATTTTCTGGTATTTCAAAATCCAAGATGGAGGAAGACACCCTATCTACCTTAAGTGAATATTTGTGTCATTTATTCTATTGTTTTCTTATTTATGATGGCTGATCTGTTTAAAGTGCTTAATTTATTCCATTGTTTTCTAAGTAATGGTGGCAGACCCTTTTAATGGGTTTTGTGGTTGTAAACCATAATTCCTAATAGGATCATAAGTTTCCATTTACCAAAAGTTTGGCAGCAATCTGCATATTTCATTGCATTTTTGGTCAAATGTTATTTGTAATTCAACCAGTAATTTTAAAAGAGAAAATGTTTTATACTGCAACTAGTTGTGTTTATTTCCTATATGTAGTAACAAAGCTATATTTTGTGCAATGTCAATTTCATCGTGGATCACTTTCCACAATCAGGGGTTCATTTAAGGATGAAGATAAGTTTGAAATTTGTATTAAAATTTAAATAGCTATCACTGTATTAATTTAAGTTGCAGTATAAAAACAATATTAGGTCAATGTCAGAAATATTTAAACTTTTTTGTAGTCAGCACAAAACTGGGGAAGGGCTCGGTAAAAACTCGCCCTTCCCCAGTTTCTCAGCCTCATACAAAAAAATTTATATTTCTCTGACATTGACCTAATATTGTATATTGATAGTGTTAACAGATCAATGGCTGATGCCAAATGAAAGCAACATATCATACTGTGGTTCATGGAAGCTATAAGAAGTAAATTTACAATCAATTAAAATGTGACACATAATGAGGCCCTTATATATGAAGACATTAAACATAAAATACAACCTCTGTATACTTTGATCTGAGGAAGTATTCTGTCATGGCATGGATTCTTGTGTCACTAGTAAAGGCTTTTACTACATCTGGCTGTGAAAACAAAATGAAATTATTACTTCTTTTTTATGGTATTTCACCAAGATTGTGTGAAACATTATATGTATTGTTAATTAACAAAAAAGTATGTTTATGAGCTTTTTAATATTTGATAGAACATACAAATACTGTCTCCCGGGATGACAATTAATTTTGTACAGATAAAAATCAATCACCATTTATTACAGGATAAAACTCTTATTAAAATGTCAGAAATCAATAAAGATAGTTTTTATGTGTCATCTTCACTTTAAATGTTTAGTGTATACATTAAACAGTTCAATTAGATTGAAACAAGTGTATTTTGCTTTACACATCCCACCTATTTTTGTTTTATTTCTTATATCTATTTCATAAATCATTATGCTATGATACAATATATGCTAAGAAAGATAACTTGTTTTATATTTATATCTATAATTACCTTAACTAAACAATGACTAGAATGATCACTGGTTAAGGACTTAGCCAACATACTTCTATATCCCTACAATTATAAACAATGACTAGAATGATCACTGGTTAAGGACTTAGCCAACATACTTCTATATCCCTACAATAATAAACAATGACTAGAATGATCACTGGTTAAGGAATTAGCCAACATACTTCTATATCCCTACAATTATAAACAATGACTAGAATGATCACTGGTTAAGGAATTAGCCAACATACTTCTATATCCCTACAATAATAAACAATGACTAGAATGATCACTGGTTAAGGACTTAGCCAACATACTTCTATATCCCTACAATTATAAACAATGACTAGAATGATCACTGGTTAAGGACTTAGCCAACATACTTCTATATCCCTACAATAATAAACAATGACTAGAATGATCACTGGTTAAGGAATTAGCCAACATACTTCTATATCCCTACAATTATAAACAATGACTAGAATGATCACTGGTTAAGGAATTAGCCAACATACTTCTATATCCCTACAATAATAAACAATGACTAGAATGATCACTGGTTAAGGACTTAGCCAACATACTTCTATATCCCTACAATTATAAACAATGACTAGAATGATCACTGGTTAAGGACTTAGCCAACATACTTCTATATCCCTACAATTATAAACAATGACTAGAATGATCACTGGTTAAGGAATTAGCCAACATACTTCTATATCCCTACAATTATAAACAATGACTAGAATGATCACTGGTTAAAGAATTAGCCAACATACTTCTATATCCCTACAATTATAAACAATGACTAGAATGATCACTGGTTAAGGACTTAGCCAACATACTTCTATATCCCTACAATTATAAAGTGAACTCACAGTAACATCTTACTGATAGGCAACCTTAATAGTCAGAAAGAGGTTATGACCTAGATAAAGAATTTATATATTGAACTACACTAATATGACTTAATAAATCTGCTTAATATCTACTGAGAAACTCTGTCATAAAAAAATTACCATTTTGCTAATTTAAAATTTTCTATTCCAGGTAATCATGGTAATAGTGGATGCCATTTCTCTTATAGGAGTTGGTGGTAATTCTTCAATGAGATTTTAATATAACTTTGCTTATTATTTGCCCTTCATAGAAGTATCAGTTCCTTTAATCCATAATGTTCTTTTTTAATGTGACAGCAGTCATGTTGGTTTGTCTGAAGAAACATTGTTTACAATTCTCTTATTCACTTTCATGAGGTAGGTGCCATAGCTCATTCCCAAAATTCCGTCCAACAAATTTTCTGTTTATTAATTAAATTATTGTTCTTAAACTAAAAGTGGTAACTTCATCTGGCAAAATGACCATATATGATTTCAGCTGTGTAGTTTAAGTTTATTACTTTCAAATGCTTCTTATTTTGTGTCCCAAATTTTGGTTTTAGCTTCCTGATGTAGGTTATTCCCAAAGCATATGGTGCATGTACTGAAATTGGTAATATGTGTTTAAATTGAAACAAAAACTCTACTGATTAAGGAACAGTTACCTTCACCTGTCATTTTATTCAATAATTTAAGTGTTGTGTAAAAAAAATATTGCTGACATCTTCTGACAATTATTTTTACTGTAAATTCAGAAATTATTGCGTGTATTTATTATTGCGATTTTGTTATTTTAGATTAAAATGTGATTTTAATTTTTGCCATATTGAGAATAATCCTGTTTAATTCATAATAAAAATTTCAAAATGCGAGTTTAAATTATTGCTATTATAACCCTGTCGCATTTTCCGCAATAATAAAAACTTCGCAATAATTCCTGAATTTACAGTACTTCATTTGTAAAAACTCTGTTTGGTTTGATCTGATTTAGATAGGGAAATGCCAAATTTTTAGTAAATTATATGCAAAGTGGAAAGTTACAAGTGTGGGGACATGACGTCATCGCTATATGATGTCCTCAATATTTGAAACCTTACCATTTTAAGACAAAGCAGTATCTTACCTTGCTTTTAAATATAATATACAATATCTTTTTAAAGAATTAAAAAAGATTTATATAAATTTTCAAAATCAAAGTCTATACGTCTCTTCGATACAATTTAAGTAGTTGATTTCAAGTGACATAAAGCTCACATTAAGATTAGCAAGGAGATCGTCAAAATTAATGGTCAAAATGGCAACGTGTTTGGTTCAAATATCGATTTACTAGTAACCCCTTTTTTCATTTGATTATAAGAGGAATTAAAGTCCAATTCTATAATACTAAACATAACTTTTGGTAACCCTTTTTTTATGTTAAAAGAATATTGAACAGGACATAAGGAAAACACATTGTTATAACTCTAGCAGTCCTTTGTTTGAGTCATATGAACTTAAATATCAATAAACGTTAGATTCTTAATTTCCATAAAAAATATCTCATTTTTCAAAGTTTATTTTTTATGTGATCAGTATGCATATTTTAAACAAAATGATTAGTACAAAGCCCACTATTTACCTTAGGGTCTTCTACATAAGACAAATGACCTGCTCTTTGTTTGACATATAATGTTCCCTGCTTAGATAAAAGTATCCTGTAAATAAAAGTTAGTTAATGTTTAAACAAGAGGCTGTCAGAGTGACAGCAAACCGAATTTCCTGCAGAGGTCGAACTGTGAACAGTAGAGCAAGTATGGACACTACATTTAAGCTTAAAACAGCTCTGAATTTGGATTGTGATTGAATATTTGACACAGCATAGTTTTGTGACACAAAATGAATGTGGTCAAACAACTGAAAAATTTGAAATTGGACATTTACCTATTATGGTCCAATATCCATTTTTAAGTACATTGTTAGAATCAGCATATCAAAGAACCCCAAGAATTCAATTTTTGATGAAATCAAACAAAAGTTTAATTTAGGACCCTTTAGACCTCAATGTGGACCAATTTGATAAAGGAGCCCACAATCGAAAATCTCTAAATACATGGTTAGATTCAGTATATCGAAGAACCCCATAAATTCATTTTTTGTTGAATCAAACAAAGTTTAATTTTGGATCCTGATTTGGACCAACTTGAAAACTGGGCCCAAAAATCTTTATATTTAAATACAGGTTTAGATTCAGCATTTGAAATAACCCTATATATATTTAATCTATGTTGAAATGAAAAACAGTTTAATTTTATCCATATAATTTTCTGTTCAAAGGAAATAACTCAAACTGAATAAATTATAAACACATAGTTCTCTAAAATTAGATATGATTTAACCACTATTTTCTTAAATTAGATATGATGTTACACAATGTATATCTATTTTCAAATTATTATCAAATATAAACTGTTATCACAGAGATATATCTCGCCTTTTTGTAATTTTGATAATGCAAATGTTGAAATTAAAATAGCAATACTTTAACATGTAAGTTATGCAAATATTCAAAGTCGATGAACTATGATTGAAGGTACATGGCTAAACAATCTCCATGGAATGAGATGTGCCAATGCTAATACAATTGCATACCAAATACCATTGACTTATTATAAGTCTTTCCCTTTAAACAAACCTAAACACAAACATTAACTTGTAAACTATGTAAAAGTTTCAAAGTCAATGAACCATGATCATGGGTGGGGCTATATATAATCTCCATGGAAACGATACTTGCAAATGCCAATATTTTGCATACCAAATATCATTAACTTAACATTAGCAGTTCATCCTAAACTGATCTAATCACAAACTAATACATGTAAACTAAGCAAAAGTTTCAAAGTAAATAGACCATGACTGAGGGGGCGGGGCCAAATATTCTCCATGGAAATGAGATGTGCTAATGCTTATACAACTGAACACCAATTAACATTGGCCTACCACTAATGGTTCCCCTTGAACTGACCTAATCACAAACTAATACATGTTAACTTAGCAAAATTTTCAAAGTCTATAGACCATGACTAAGGGGGCGGAGCCAAATAATCTCCATGGAAATGAGATATGCCAATGCTTATACAACTGCATACCAAATATCATTGACCTACCACTAGTGGTTCCCCATAAATTGACCTAATCACAAACTAATACATGTAAACTATGAAAAGTTTCAAAGTCAATAGACCTTGACTGAGGGGGCTGGGCCAAATAATCTCCATGGTAATGAGATGTGCCAATGCTAATACTACTGCATACCAAATATCATTGACCTACCACTAGTGGTTCACCATGAACTAGACCTAATCACAAACTAATACATTGTTGACGCCGCCACTGCCGACGCCGGAAATAGCATACCTATGTCTCGCTTTTTGACTCCGTTAAAGCGAGACAATAATTAATAGTTCCAAATATTTTTTCTTTCATTTGTCACAAACTAATATAGATCTGCAACTTATCTATCAATGTCAACAACTTTATCTACACAATGTAATATAATGAAATATATTCTTTAATAAGAATAGATTATTATCTAATTAAAAGAGTTCACTTCATCAAAAAAAAAATTATATATATAGCATTCAGAAAATTAGTTTATACAGAATAACAAACAAACCTACCACAAAATTCTTCAAACAATATACAAAAGAAAAGAGAAAAAAAATCCAAAATGTCATTTATCATTAATACAATGTCTTTTAAAAATCTTTTTAATAAATGAACAGAATGGAGTAATTAATAAGAATTTCATCAAAAATTTTATTCTTGGAAAGGGCTATAACTCAACAACGAGAAAAGCTAAAATTGTGAAAATTGAACTTGACCTTCATTTAGTCACAGGAAACAACATATCTAAATTTGAAAAAATTTCGTCAAAACATTTTTATGTTAATGAACAGAAACTGTTTGGCAGCCGAAAGCCCACCCGCCTGCCGTACATCCCCAAATCAATTCTTTCGAAAATCCGGTTAACAAAAACACTAGTCTATGCTTTATCTAAATATTAGCTTAATGAACCAACATATAAAAATATATATAAGATGAAAACTGAAAGGAGTTTATATCAGAAGAAACATAAGACTTTTCAATTATGACAAAATTAGAGATGTTTTTGAGTAGTCATTCTCAACGTTTTCCGTAATGAATTTTTTAGAATTACCATCCTTCAAATGAAATATAACATATAAATTGGCTTTTAATATTTATTTTTAAGATATAAAATGCAACATTGCAATTTAAAAACACTTTTCTTCAGTCAAAATTTATGAATGATTAAAACAAACTGAGCACTCACTCTAGTATACTCCAGTTCTTATCTCTATGGAAAACTATTGGCCAGTACCTTGGTCCTAGTATATGTACCTAGGAATAAAAGAGGAGTGCAATATACTTTGGATACAACGTCAAATACATACAGAATAATGGCATTTTTGTTTTTGATACTGACTTTATCAGCAAGAATATCAAGCAGGGTAAGCTGATATTCGAGCTGATGAAGTCGATATTAAAAAAAACCGTCATTATTCTTTTTATTGGCAATTTGTTTTAACAATATGTTTTTTGGTTGACAATATGAAATAAAATGAAATAGTTAGTAAAATCTATTTTCACGCATACAAAACGTTGTAATAGTTGTTTGATTGTGTGAATGAAGTCATTCATTTCATTGATAAAATTTACATGAATGGACAAGAAACATGTGATGTTGCTGCACTGATACATGATGTCATTGCCTAATATTTTTTAGTATGTTCATGATATAAAAAATATTAGGAGGTAAGATCAGAGGGAAAATGTACAAATTGCAGATAAATGTAATTATTATATATTTAGTAGTAAATACAAGTAAATTGTGTGTGTAATACAATCAATGGAGATTATGCTGTATCAGCTATCCATGATATTATTACAAGTCACAGTTACTTATTCTATGGCATTACAATAAAAAAAATATCCAAATCTATGATATGAATAAAAAAAGATAAAGGTTAATTGTCATTGTTATTGCATTGCATTCCAATTATGCTAAGCTATTTATAAATTAACATATAATATCAGTACCTCTTGAATAAGATGTAACTCTGGCAGAAGACATGGAGCTGTAGTTGTGAATGAAACATTTTGGTAAGCTTCGGTATCCTGTAATGTATTGATAAAATTAATAGCCATTATATTTACTAACAGCAAAGTACTATTATCAACAGCATGAGGGCTTGTAATTCTTCTACTTCATTATCAATAACATGTTCTATACAAAATGTGAAGAATAAATCATTTCTTTTGTTTAAATAAAATATTCATTCTATCAAAAGCAAAGATTATTTGCACAGATAAAAAAAAATGTTTTTAGAACTGATTTGTTATTAATACATTATTTCAGTTATTCAAAAACATAATTACAAGTATGAATATCTAAAAATAAACATTCGAACAATCCTGATTCTATCTTTTGGTAAAACACAGGGTATACAGATGAGTTATACCAAACTTTCAAGGCAGGGCACAAAAAAACTATGCTTTACATAAAAATCGATATGGGTCAACAACAATTTGAATGAAATCAAATAAGTTCACAAAAATAAACATTTAGTACAAATATTCAATATACCATAATTGAACCAACCTTAAACTTAACCTTCATTGGTACATAGCATGGCTGTCCTGTGTCCACATCTCTAGGTAAAACAACTCTCATCTCAGTAGCAAGGACATACAAATGTCTGAATGCCTGTAAGTGGTATCTGTAATAAAAGAGGTCTCATTTCACTGGCTAGGACAAACAAATACACAAAGACTCAAGATCTCTTAAAGCATAATTCGTTGTAAATGGTATCTGTAATAAAAGAGGTCTCATTTCACTGGCTAGGACAAACAGATACACAAAGACTCAAGATCTCTACAAGTATATTTCAAAAAACAACAGACAGACAGGTAAAAACTAAATTCTAAACATATGACCCTGAATAGACAAATGGTAACAGAACTGGGACATTCAATGTCCAAATGATTTGAAAAAGTATCTAAACAACAGACAGACATGTATAATTGGTATTTTAACCCTTATCTAAACATTGAATATAAACTCTTAAGTTGTAAAGGAGCCTTCATTGAGTGATATAGTATTTTCAATACAGTGACTTCATAATTTTTGTAAGCCCAAATCCAGTAAGTCTTGGTTAAATTCCTTAAACTTAGCCGATACCTAGACAAATATCTAAAGGTTTGAAATCAGGACATCAATGTATTTTAATAAATAAAAAGATTGTGCTAATGTTCCAAATAAATTGTGGTATAACTCAAGATAACCCATTCTAGCAAAAGCATTGAAAAATTTCAACTAACATCTTATGAGAGGGTTGTAAGGAGGGGTTACTTGCATAGAATATAATATAAAACTGAATTCTTCAATGAAAGGAGAAAAAAGTTTTATGCATATGTTCCATGTTAGATATCATTCTCAAACACAGAAGCATTTAGATAATAATTGGAGGCTATGTTTAACACAAGAGTGCACACGCTGAAATGTCTCGCCTTCTTTACTAACCATTGATTTTATGTTGATAGTCCTAAATATAAAGCTTTACTACAAGTAACACATAAACTTAACATGATCCAAGAAAATAAGGTCAAGGTCAGATAAACCAAACGAGAAATACATGTACACCTTACAATCATTCAATAAACCAAACATAGTTGACCTATTGCTTATAGTTTCTAAGAAACAGTCTTAACCAAGAAAACTTAACATTGACCAATGAACCATGAAAATGAGGTCAAGGTCAGATGAACCTTGCCAGACAGACATGTACACCTTACAATCAATTTATGCATTAAATATAGCTGACCTATTGCTTATAGTATCTAAGAAACAAACTTAACCATGAAAATTAAACATTGACCAATGAACCATGAAAATTAGGTCAAGGTCAGATGATACCTGCCAGACAGACATATACACCTTACAATCCTTCCAAACAACAAATGTAGTTGATCTATTGCTTATAGTTGAAGAAAAACAGACCAAAACACAAAAACTTAACACTGAGAAATGAATCGTGAAAATGAGGTCAAGGTCAAATAAAACCTACGAGACTGACATGTACATCATAAAATATTTCCATACACCAAATATAGTTGACCTATAGCATATAGTATTAGAAAAAAAGACCAAAACTCAAAAACTTAACTTTGACCACTGAACCATGAAAATGAGGTCAAGGTCAGATGACACCTACCAGTTGGACATGTACACCTTACAATCATTCCATATACCAAATATAGTAGACCTACTGCTTAAAGTATCTGATATATGGACTTGACCACGAAAACTTAACCTTGTTCACTGATCCATGAAATGAGGTCGAGGTCAAATGAAAATTGTCTGACAGGCATGAGGACCTTGCAAGGTACGCACATCCTAAATATAGTTATCCTATTACTCATAATAAGAAAGAAATTAACATTACAAAAAAAGTTGACTTTTTTTTTCAAGTAGTCACTGAACCATGAAAATGAGGTCAAGGACAATGGACATATGACAGACGGAAACTTCCTAACATAAGGAATCTATATACAAAGTATGAAGCATCCAAGTCTTCTAGCTTCTAAAATATAAAGCTTTTAAGAAGTTAGCTAATAACGCTGCCGCCAGATCACTATCCCTATGTCGAGCTTTCTGCGACAAAAGTTGCAGGCTCGACAAAAACAATCCCAGGACCCTCTAAATCTTCAAATGATTTTTCTTCATTTATAACCCACAAATTCTTACCTGTTATCATTACTGTGTATAGGAAACTTAGGAAACATAGCACATAACAATACTGCTATAGACTCTGGGGCAGTCTTTAATGAATATCTGTAATAAAAAGAAAATAACATTTCAAAACTAAACTAAATTAATTATCAGCTATAGATATTACCCTTAATACTCCATGGTGTTAACAAAAATGACGATCCAAGGTTCAGGACCTTTAAATTTTATTAAAGCCCATTTAATGTTTTGACTTGGAAGTAATACAGTTCATAATATTCCAAATTGATTGATTGACAGTAAACAGAACAACATCACAACATCTATTGTGTTACCAGTTTTAATTTACAAGAAACATTCAATGACTGCACTGCAGATCTGAAATATGCTTAATCCAAACAAATTCATCAAGTTCCTAAATTTTTTTATTTGCAGCGAACAAGTTCACTGTCTGCACGAAAGTTTAAGGGTTTAAATGAACCCAGTTTATATAGATTTTACAATACAATATACTATGACTTACCGATGAAATAAGAAAAAGGATCACAAGATAAATACACATTAAGACATAGGTTGGGTAAAGGTCAGAAAATAAACCATAGAAACAATAAAAAGCATAAGGTCTTCAATAATATCTGTATAATGTCTACATCAAATCAAAATAGCCCAAAGGTCTACTTATTTCATGCCATTTGAAAACTCTATCTCTGTAACTGGCATTTATAATACATTTAATTCAAATACATGTTACATACCTACAACCTCCCAGGAATAGAAGTCCAATAGACATACTGATGGCCATGTGAGATCCATACATTACATATAAGTTATATGGAGGTCCCACTCTTGATCTAAGGTATCTACAGATCCTCAAAACTTCTAAATTACCAGTACCAGCCATCACCTGAAAACAAAGTATTATGTCTGTATAGCTTTTGCAAACTTCTTTTTTAATTTGCTAACTTGAAAAATAAAAGAAGAATGTGTATGAGGACATAATTGCCCCTGCTCAAGCTTTGCCATTTTTCAAGTTAAAAAGGGGCATAACTCTAGAACAATAAGTGACACACTGCCCAAATTCGAACTCTGTCTGCAATTTTTAGTTCTTAGCATTGCATATGAGTTTCATAATATTTGAATGAGGAAATCTTAAGTAAGAGAGCAGAAACGAAAAAATTGCAATTATCCCTGTTATAAAAGGACATAACTCTAGAACAGTAGGTGACTCACTGCCCAAATTTGGACATTGTCTGCAAGTTTTGTTTCTTAGCATTGTGTACGAGTTTCAAAAAAATTTGGATTAAGAAAACTTGATAGATTAAGGAAAAGAAAATGGGATGGACGGACAAAGGACGGACAGAAGGAGGTCAAGGGTAACACTTAATGCCCCCATTGCTTACGGCAGGGGCATATAAAACAAGGATTTCTCCTTTTTGTCGTCATATGAACAAGGTATTATATAACAAACATTATATAAAATTACTATCAAATTTCACAGGATTTTACAATGGATATTAATTACAATACGCTTATGTAATTTGTGTAAAAGTCTAGGAGGGAGAAAAGGAGTCTTAAGCACTTTATAAAACCTCGACCACACGACTACAAAATTTGAAATTATACTTAATTTTTCACAATATCATTCAGGAAGTATAATCATTACTCATTTTTAGAGCTTCACCAATCCCTCATACAATAATTACTGAAACAGACCTCACTTGAAATCTAATTATTACACAATTATTTTTTACCTTCCCTGATTTTGAAATCTTCATGAAATAGAAAAACTAAGTAAGCACAGCATTGATTATTTTGAAAATAGAACACTCAAGACATGAAACCTTTGTGATGAAATGATAATCATCAGAATCTCTATAATAAACTTACAAGTGCTATTGACACCAAGACTGTCATCAAACAACTCTCTACTGTACTTTTCCCTGCTTGTTCAACCAGTCTGGGATTTGTTTGGAATGTCAAGAATAGTTTGATACTTCTCATCTGAAAAGAAAAGATATAAACTGACTGCATAAAATAAAAATTCTATTAAAAACAGTTTTGTTATTTAATTTGTTAATATGTTCTATCATTTTTGCTTTTAAAAAGTTCAAATAAAATTTGCTTATCATTTTTTTTTAATAAATAATATGAATTCTTGTGTTTATTATAATGCATATCCTACTAAAATATTGATTGCATATAAAAAAAATATCAGTGGAATGCAAACACCAACAGACTCAAAATTATCAAAATTAACAATGCAACCTTAAATATTATGAACTGTTGTGTTTATCATTTCCTTGCTTTGAATAACTTGCATCTAATAATGCATTTAAGGGTTATAGAAACAAAAATTTGTGTTACATGTACTAGTAAATTCCATTTAATAAAAAAAAAGTTTTAATACTCACCAAAGTTTCAAATGCAGATTGATTAGCTGTACCTGCAAACTTGAGACCAATCACCATACTAGCTCCAGCTAGAATATTACAGTAAGCTTGACTGAAATATTTTATAAAAGGCATTTTTAATCTTAAAATCTAATTTTATTTTACTGTTATACAGCAACATTTAAGTTTTTCGAAATTCAAAAATCATCTTAATGAAGGATATAAAGGATTGATATCCCATTAAAATGTTCACATATATTATACATCCTTATGCTGCGTTCACACGTAATTCGAATTCGATTTGCATTAACTAATTCGAATTAGTTTAATTCGCATTCGAAACGTTTAACGTCCAAGCGTAAATTCTAATTCGAATTGCAATGCGTGTCAAATTCGCTTTACTGTCCTAACGACGTTAACTTTTAATTCGTATTAACAAAAACCCATTTCTAATGCGAACTGGATAATGCGATTAAGCCAATTCGAATCAATTGGAATTAAAAAAGAAGAGTGTGTGAACGCGATTAGCGAATTCGATTCGCATTTGATTCGAATTCAGTTCGAATTAAATGTACGCATGAACGAGGCATAAAAGACTAGCTTTAATAGTGTCCTATCCCACTATTATGGTTACTATTATCATTTTTTAAACAATAAATTCAATATATACATGGATGTTTTATTTCTTACCTTTGTGTTTCAAAATCAGTCATATTATCATCCTCAGCTGATTCCTCAACATGACCTCTGTTAAAGGCATTCCTCTGTAAAATCTACAAATAATTAAATATTTACAACAATGGACTGTTATCATGGGCAAAAAATAACAAAGATACTCAACTCAGCGATCCTTTAAAACAATGTACCAATGTGTATTTAGAAATCAGTATACCATCATTTAATAAGAGAAAAGAAACAGTCACAAACAAGATGTATTGTGAGTTATTGATCACTAAATATACCTACTGCTCAATGTTATTGACATAATTGACAAAATTTCATGACATTTTGAAGATACAAGTTTTTAGCAAACAGGAAGTAGAACATCAAATGAACTGAAAAAATGTCACACAGTATGACATGACCAGATAAAACTTGGTGCCATATATCCAAAAGGTATGACGAGTATGCTGAGAAAAATAGTTCATAATGTGCTATGCAGACAGATTGACAGTCAGAGGTAAAATAGTCCTTTTGAACAGGGGCACAAAAATGCATTGAGTGGTATACTAGCGCTTGATTTAGTAAAATTTTTATAAGTTTCAAAAGACGGATGATCATGAATAATGTGAATAATATTTCTCTAACTTTCCAGCATGCAGTAAATATGAAATAAAGAATGTTTGGAGCTTTAATTGGACAGAACATTTTTTCAGTTGTTTAACATTTTTATACATAGAGTTCTGTAACAATTGTCACTCATACATTTTCAGCAGTCTAGGAAAAGGAAATCATGTATCAAATATTACTAATACATAGATACTTATACCTCAGGAACATTATTTTTCAACCATTCAAAGGTTGGTAGTACTGTATCCCACATCACCAATCCTTTGCTTAATGTCTGAAATGAAATGCACAGATATGTTTAAAGCCGTAAGAAATGCAGTGTTTCAAATATATAATAAAAAATATGCAACAATTCACCAAAACAGCAAATAAATCTCAACAATGATATAGGTATATATTAAATAATAATAGATTATTAAAAAAATTTGTAAGGGTTCCGCGGAACCCAGTGTCTCGCCTACTTTTGCTGTTAGTCGCAGGCTTAACAAAAATGGGGAAAAATTATTAAAAATTTTCCTCTAGATACTATCTTTTGATTGTAAGAAGTTCTGTTCAAGTTTGGTAAAAATCCAAGAAGGTTTATGAATCTAATAAATGTTTTAAAACTTTAACTGCAGGCTGTACATAATGTTAACTGGAATAAAGCTAAGTCCATTTAAAAGTAATATACGGAAAAACAGGAAATAAAATTTTTACAAAATTTCCTTCTAGATACTAGCTTTTGATCATAAACAAGCTTCTGTCCAAGTGTGGTACAAATCCAGGATAGTTTAAAAAGTTATCAAAATTTGAAAAACTTTAATCACAGAGTGAATATTATGTTAACTGGCAGAAAAACTAAGTCCATATATGAGTAAAATACGGATAAACAGGATTTTTTTTTTTACAAAATTTTCTTCTGGATACTATCTTATGATTATAAACAAGCCTCTGTCCAAGTTTGGTACAAATCTAGGATAGTTTAAGAAAGTTATTAAAATTTGAAAAAATTTTAACCACAGAGTGAATATTTGTGGACGCTGCTGACGCCGATGGTAGGATCGCTATGTCTCGCTTTTGCGACAAAAGTAGCAGGCTCGACAAAAATATTATTTTAGACAGCATAGGTCTAATGTTTCAATATAAATTTAAGCATCATAATGAATTTCTGCAAACCTATCCTAAACTTATGAAGTTTTTATTCATTTTCTAGAATAATTTGTATTATATTTGCCTTGATTTAAAATTAAAAAGCCTGGTCAAGTGTAATAGTCTTAAGACTTGTTTTTGTTACAAATAATTCTATAATAAAAATGTAAAATATGTTCCCTGTTTGAATTTCTACACAAGAAAATAACATTATGTTTGTGTGGACAACAATGAAGATGAATATGAAGACTGAATTAATGTACACAGCTTATATACAACTCCAACATATGAACCTTCACAAATATCTACAGGTTTTATCAGTGAAAACCATTGTTCTACTTAAGACAGTGCTATTGACCATCACGATTATTCTGTAAGGGAACAAGCTGTTAAACTCATCACCTACAAATCATGTTCAAGATTAATAACTGCAATAAAAGCTGTGTGCTTTTGATACATAACTATTCCAAGCACTTAATAAAAATGCTGCATTATGTACTTCCACATCATATCCTTTTCCCCACTGATTCATAATAAACTTATAATAAAAGTTCTGGTTCAGTCTAGTGTTTCCCCTATCACACAAAAAGGGCATCTAGAGCGAGCAAAAATTTATAAAAAGGGGACCTACAGTGTATGGAAAATTAACAAAAGGGCACCTACAGTGTACGGAAAATTAACAAAAGGGCACCTACAGTATGCTGAAAACAAGAAAGGCAATAAATTGTCATATTGCATTGGTAAAGTATGGACTGGCAGTTGTTGATGGAATTAGAACTCAAGATAGCAAGTGTATTGTTTCAAAATAATATTGTATATGCATCTTTAAATAAAGATGAAAATCAACATTATTCTGGGTAACAGCAAGGGACTAAGGATGTATGTATATTACTAGCTATTCATCTTTGTCAGACTTTGAAGGACTAATGCATAAATTTACTAGACAGTTATTACATGATTTGACTGATGTGGCACTTAAATATGAAGATTAGGATATAAGATCAGAAAATCTAGTTCAAAATTTCACTTCAATTAGTTTCAGAGGACAGTTCTGATCAACAAAAGTTGGGCCCCTTTTTTTAAACCAGGATTCACGGTATAAATGAACTTGTAGAACTTTGTAAGACTATTATCCTTATAAAACGTTTAGATCGATATTTAGAATTCATTTCCATAAAGTTGGAACCAAGGATTTGTACAAATTCTTATTGGAACGATTCTAATAACTGTAAATTGTAAATTAATCGAGAATTGATCACGTTTACTTTCGATTTACAAATGAAATGTAAACAGGAAGTGACAAGCAGATAATAAATTCAGAATGAATCCGGATTCATCTACGGATTGGTTCGTTTTTAAAAAAAGGCAGTAAATTATCATTTTTTTAATATGATTTGCTTAGTAAGAAATATATTTGTCTCTCCTATTTATTTTAAACTAAATTTATTTCGTATTTTACATTTTAGAGTTTAAATTCATAGAAATACTTTTGTGCATGCGCAGTATATCGTAAACAGTAAAGGATTCACTTGTTTGACTCGTGAAAACTTTTCTGAACGTTTTGAATAAAGTTCTATCTTTTTGATTGAAATTGAACGTTTTATACCAAAGATCACGAAAATACGATCATTTGACGAAACTATGACAAACGAACTGCAAATTGTGATCGTTTTAGAAATATTGAAATTAAAAAGCGAACTGTCCGGCGGAAAACAATTTTGTTCAAATGACGAAACTATGACAAACGAACTGCAAATGGTGGTGGTTGGCCTTGAGAAATATTGAAATTAAAATGCGAACTGACTGATTTTACTGGGGCAAATTATTATGGTGGTCAATTATAAGGTTTATTAATAATTAACGGATTAGTGACCCATCCGATGGCGATAAGCGGATTAACTGTAATCACAACTTTATAACACCTGTTGTAAATGTTAATTAGCTGAGGGTCATAAACTTGCCAGAAACATGAAGACAGGAAGAAAGGGCATTTTTTGAGACAATGGCGTCACCTAAAGAAGTGAAAAAAGGGCATGGCGTCATTATTAAGACAAAAAAAGGGCATGGCGTCATTTAAATAGGGCATGGCGTCTATCCATGCTAAACATGCTTGGGGGAAACACTAGGTTCACTGACTGGTATTAATGTCTAAAACTACACACAGGCAACACACCACTGTTGTATACCTAACCTCAACATAAAGATGTCTGACTTAATATCATCTAAAATATATTGTGTATCTGCTATACTTTACTGGTGGTGTATATGATATGGACCTAAAATTAGACTGGTCTAACATTATCCAAAATAAAATGTGATATTAACTATATTTTACTTATGGTGTATACCTACCCTCAACATTAAGAAGTCTGGTCTGACATGATCCAACATAAATTGTGTATCTGCTACACTTAACCATTCTGCTACAGCACTGTAAAATTTAAACAGAGTTTTATAAAATTAAAAAATAGTAAATTTTGTAGAGGTTTTGCATTAAAGCAGCTTTGCTGTTGCATCTCATCAGACTGACTTTCATATCCGTCCTGAAATTGAAATGGAAAGTTGATTTTTACCCAAATTATTTTGAAATAAAAGAGAACTGTTACTTAAAGGTGAGTAAAATTATACATCAAGAGAACAAATATCATATACATCATCTTAGCAGAAAAAAACAGACTTGGAATTCAAAAGCAGATGCTAAATAAGAAGCATCTAAATTTCTGGATCTCAGTAAACAATAGCTCTGTGTGTGAAAAACTTTTGTAAAACTATACCTGTTATTAGATTTGAAGTAGAGCATGCCCAAAGCCAAAGTAGCTCCAGGTGAAGTTACATCTACATTTACTGCATCTCCTTCCTGTGAAAAAAATAATATATGATAAAATTTACATTAGATCATTGTTCTTTCCAAACCTAACTAACTAACAACTAAATAATCAAGCTACTAGACTAAAAATAAAGTGTCATTATGAAACATTAGTCCTAAATTTTTCAATATTGTGTTAAAATTTCCTGGAATGTATGTCCATAAGCCTGAAATCTACCACCAATTATTTATCTTTTCAAGGAAGGTTATGTATAAATGTAAATATACAAAATCCCCCATAATTCACTTAAGTCTCATATAAGAGCTAATGTGCAATCATTGGGTACATAATAAAAATTACTTGCCAAACAAACTTCTCTAGATGAAATAAAATGAAGCATTCAACTATTCTAAAATACCGAAAGAACCAAAATCTATTTTAATCTAAACTATATTTACTAGTAAATAAATGAAACATGTCTTATAACTATACATAACTCTATGGAAAAGAAATCTATCAACTTCAACACACTAAGAGTCTACTGAAAGAAATAATAAAACCCTAAACCAACATGATCATTCAATATGACCATACCTTGATATGGTAACTTGGTGATTTGTATCTCTCTTTGTTAGGTCCAATCTGAAACAAAACCATAGGAACCCCTTCAATTTACTCACTATCTAAAAATGCCTTAAACAAAACTAAATTTAAAAGTATAAAAACATCAGATATACACACATCCATAGTATATCTATGGCCATGTTAAAAGTTTTAGTATACTACATGTTGTTTACAGGCATCTGCCTTTATTATCTATTTATCAAAGCCTTTCATTGTATACTGATATTGACGGTGATAATATAAATGTATTCAAATAATATTCTGTCTAGTCCAATTATAAAAACAGTCACAAATTCTGAAATAATAATTGACTACAGTAACTTTGACAACACTTAACAATTACATATTAACACATTCAAGTTATTTTTAATTGTATTTATTTTGATTATAATTTATATAGAAATGACATGAAAAATATTATCAATCAAAACAGTATAAAACAACCTTACCAATGGCCTCTTATGTCCACCAATCATAAAATGACAAAGTGTGTCAGCCATGTTTAAATCAGACTTCACAACTTGTTCTCCACCCTTCTACAAAATAAGTAATAAAATCAGGATTTCAAATCAAATACTGCTTTCTTTCAATGATAATGAATATTTGAACATTTACCTAAACTACTTTATCTTTAATTTACATTTCATTAAAATATATTTGATGGAAAATAGTGTGTGAGAAAAAGACTTAATACGACAAACAAAAAATCAACCTTTTAAACAGTTAATCATAGACAAATAAGCTATGAAAGCTGTTACATTTTTGCTGAGTAAAAGTTAGTTTACTAACCCCAAACATAACCAGTCCTAAAGCCAATCCAGCAGCTAAAGAATATGATTCTCTGTCATTACAATTCTCCATCTCTGGTCCTGGTGGTCTTCCTGAATATAAATAACTCAAATCAATGCTACATCAAATACAAGTCCTTTCTGTTCTTGATTTTTATTAGAAGATAAAACATATTTATTTTGAGCAATTCTATGTAAGACTGTAAGTGGCTACTAGAGTATAAAACATTTTAAAAAAAATTGGGATTATTTTAAAAATGCTTGATTTTCATAATTTCACAAGAAAAATTGGTTCACACATCTATGGTTTGGATTGTAATTAATATCATTAAAATTGAGCAATATGGTATGTTTGCAAATGAGACAACTATCCATTTAAGACCAAAAGACAAAGTTTGGGTTTTAAGAAATGTTCTTTCATTAAATGGCATATATTATAAACAACGAGGAGCACAATGACTGTCAAAGAAAAGCAATATAACGCACTAAACTCACCTATTTCAGCTAATAATACTTCAGCTGTATGTCTGTGGGCTGTCCCTTGGAATACAAGCCCTACCCCTAGTATAGCAGCAACCTGTACATTATGTGGGACATTGAGTTCTGTAGAGGTAGGTGGCAGTAAAGCTGGTACATGTATACTTAATACTTTGGTAGTTGATATATCCATTGTTCCTCTCCTGTAAATCAGTATTAAATATGTGTCATTGTGAACAAATATATTCCCTAAATTTTTAAACTTGACATGAGCAATTGCCTGTAGAATATCTGTGCATCTGGTTGAATTCTGTCAATCTGTTCTTAACGAGTTTGATGCTGATGTAGTAGACAACATCGCAAGACAATAGAAATGATCCCTAATGTGTTGCCACTTTAATGTCAGCACTAGACAGGCCACACAATTATGATATTTATCCACTCTTCACTGTCAAGGCACAACTTGTAAAATACAACTTGCTCATAAAACAATTCCTGAACAATTTTGGTTATGTTTCAAATTCAGTTCTGTTTTTTAGGTATCAATGATATTTTGATCTGCATTCTTTTTAAATAGTAAAAAAGATTTTTTTTCTTTTTTTGTGTCATTGGGTTGCTGTCTCATCGTCTTAAACCCAACATCTCCTGTCATGTATATAATTATTATATCTAAAATGATGATTGTACATGATAACTTACTTTGCTGCAGCCATTCCTAATAACAAACCAACTGTTGTCATTTCATGACCCTGTAAATTAAGTCATATATAAATATAATTTACATATCAAATAAAAATGGGTTTTTTTGTGGCATGGTTTTTTGTAATCAATATAAGTCTGTCAATATGCATGAGTTATTATTGTCTATTGAATTCAAAGCAAGTGAAACAATATAAAAAGAGGTGCTTTCCATGACAGATCACCTAAGTTCAGAATAGTTTTCTAGTATTTGTGTGACTGATATTTTTGGTACTAGATTTAGTCATTCTTTTTTTTCTTGCAATAGATGCAGAGAAACTAATTTATGTGACATTACAAAAATGATTAGTTTCAGAATTAAAACACACTATTGTCTAATAAGAACTAATGTGTCACAATACAGCAATTTCATTTTTTTCAGACACTTCATAAATCAAGATGATTGTATTATGTATGTTTCACTTTCATTTAATCTATGACATGAAATGATTGTTAACATAATATCTTTTAGCATGGAGCTTCATAACTATCCCAGAATAACTTACTGACAAAGTTTGAAGAAACTATGAATCATAGTTAATCAGAACTAGACCTAAATTGTAACTCAAAACTTAAGGGGAGAGATGGAGCAACAACTCAACAGATGAAATGATATATATCCATCCCTTACTTGATTAATGAGTTTGATGGAAACACTTATATCAGCATTACAGAAAAACCATAACATATAAACTAAGAAAACAACAGTTAAATTATCAAATACCTACCTTACTTAGATAATCATGAACATTTAGCATATGAAGATTAACAAGATGACCATTTAGTCCAAGGGCCATCAGGAATCCAGCATATTCATTGGTCAGGTCATTACTTTTTGGTTTGTTGTATATTATCCATGTAGAGTCAACCTGAAAAATAAATCAATGTAGAAAAACTTACATTTCTTATTGAATATGAGTCCATACATTCTAAAACAAATTGTTACCAAAGAATCTATGAAAATACATCAAGTATTGAAATAGTGCCTTCTGTTGGCCAGAAAACTACAACAATTTTGAGGAAAGGCAAATAAAATCTATAAATAACTTGCCTTTTTGATTAGAAACATTTTACTGTAAACTAGCTAGAGAGGTATAATAGAAAGATCAACAAAATTTTTGTGAGGCAATCCATCAAATGCTAATACAACCTGTATTTCAATCCTTATACTGTTAGATCTGAATCCAAGCAAAATGTTTACACTAAAGAACCTACTCGTAGCATATATAAAAAAAAAGAAAAGATTTTCCACTCCAAAATAATTTCTGTAACACAAGACCTAAAACTGATAATATCTTTAACCAAACCAGAAGCTGTGGCAGAAGTAAACATATTCCATTTATGCATACCTATTTAATGTAAAAAACAAAAATCAAATGATTTACCTGTGATGAATTAGCCATTCTCAATCCAGCAGCGACACCATTGTGGAACTGTGGCCATGCAGACATATTAGGTGGGGTATCTATGTGAGTTAGATCTACTGTAGCATTTCTAGCAAACAAAAATCAATATTTATAAATACAAATATTTGTTCATTTCATTTACTTCCATAGTAGTTTGTTTTCTTTGGAAAATTTACCAGTACATGAATAAACAAAATATTTGTGGTATTTGCTTGTTCTTTAAATGGCAATTCTGAAGATAAAATTTACCATCAGCAATAAATAAGTAGATTGTGTGCAGTGATAAATTAACAGTGGCTTTTGACACAATAATTTCCAACATCCTTCTTTCCACATTTCTAAAAGGTAAACAGGCCACAACTGTATATATATGAAACAGATCTACACAAAAATTGGGTGTGCACACCAAGACTAAACACAGTTCTACAATCTGTCGATACCTGTATCTTGGCATTGCACAATTTCATGTTTATCTCTGACTGTTAATGAAGTCTTCACACTAAATCCATTGGATATTGGATGTGTACTGATTGATATTTTAGTCTTAGATACATGATTTTTTTGTAGGGATGTATATATACCCTGCCACGTCTGGTCTTGTTAGATGTTTTCTGCTTTGTATCAATCTGATGAGTTAAGCCCTTTTCAACTGATTTTTATAGTTCGTTGTCATGTTATACTGTTGCACCATTGTCCCAGGTTAGGGGGAGGGTTTGGTGCCATCCAACTAGTTCAACCCTGCCACATTCTGTATGTGCCTGTCCCAAGTAAGGAGCTTGTTATTTAGTGGTGGTCATTGATTGCTGTATATCATATTTGTTTTTTCGTTCATTGTTTTGTACATAAATAAGGCCGTTAGTTTTCTTTTTTGAATTGTTACTCATTTGTCATTTTGGAGCCTTTTATATCTGACTGTGTTGTATGGGTTTTGCTCATTGTTGAAGGCCATACAGTGACCTATAGTTAACTTCTATGTAATTGGTCTCTGGTGGAGAGTTGTCTCACTGGCAATCATACCACATCTTCTTATTTTTATAAACAGCATGAAATTGTGCCAAATCTTGTTTCATTTCAAATTAAATTGCAGGAAATTTTGTGTCTATAAACTTTATACTGTATTTAGGAAATTAACGAAATATAAAAGATTATCAAAACTGAACATAAAGCATAACATTTCTATAATAAGAGTTTTGGATCAACTGTAAGTAAAGTGCTTTCATTTTGCAGATATCCCAAATGATTCTATAAGAATAAATTATTAATTTGGGAATGAAAGGGCTTCATTCATAAAAACTTTAAACATATGTAACATAATTATGATCTAAACTTAAAGACAATATTAAAACTCTCTTTCATCACAATAAAATTAGAAACATACATTATTGATAGGAATAATTATTTGATCATTTAAACTTGTCATAATACTATGATTTCACTTTGAACACTAACCTTGGTGGGGCTCTTCCTGTCAGACATAACTTAGGTGTAGGTAAAGCTTCTGTAGGCAGTGGATGATAAGAACACATGGTGAACATTCCTCTGCAAAAGCCATCATATGTATTTTAGCAAACAAACTGACATTATTTCAACTATGTTTTATTATTAAACTTCAAGATATAAATCAGACACTTGCCACATCTTTTAACAAAATGAAATTTTTTTTTCTTCAACTAAAAGTTTTAAAGTTTTTATGTTCTTATATGGGATCCTTGTTGCATCAAAGTCAAAGTTCAAAGTCAATTAGGGCATATTACACAGCATGACAAATATGCTCACTGTTGAAGACCATGTATTTCATTGTTATAAACCCAAAATAACACTTCATTCAATTGTGTTGTTGTTAGATCAGAGACATGCCAAAAAATGAAGTGTCCATGGTAACACATATTCACTAATAGGGTTTTTGTTGTTGGTTGGCTCTATATTATTATTTACCTTGTTTCATTCATATATTCACATGTTCATATTACACAATAAAATGCTTCGCTGGGGCGCAGCTTGATACGACCGCAGAGGTCGAACCCTGAACAGTTGGGGCAAGTATGGACACAAAATTCAAGCTTGATACAGCTATGACTTTGGATTGTCATTAAATATTTGACACAGCATAGGTTTCTGACACAGGATGAATGTGGTGTAAGAACTGGAAAAAATTTAATTTACCTATTATGGTGGAATATCCATAAACTAAATTGTTTGTTAATTTCAATATATCAAAGAATATGTAGAATTCAATGTTTGATGTAATGTAATAAAGTTGAAATTTGGACCGTTTTTGTTCAATGTGGACCAATTTGGTAACATGTATAAATAATCAAAAATCTAAATACATGGGAGCCCATTTAAATACATCATAAAGGTATTAAAATAGAAAGTGACATCATAGTCATGGCTAAAAATAAACAAAAATCCTTAATCAGCAACATTTAAAGTAATATCTAAAAATAAAATTCCTTTGTAACCATAAAAGCCCATTTAAATACATCATAAAGATATTAAAATAGAAAATGACATCATAGTCATGGCTAAACATAGCAAAAAACCCTTAATCAGCATCATTTAACAGTAATATCTAAAAATGGAAATTACATCATAAAGGTATTAAAATAGAAAATGACATCATAGTCATGGCTAAAAATAAACAAAATCCTTAATCAGCATCAGCAACATTTTATAGTAATATCTAAAAATAAAATTCCTTTGTAACCATAAAAGCCCATTTTAATACATCATAACAGATATTAAAATAGAAAATGACATCATAGTCATGGCTAAACATAGCAAAAACCTTAATCACCATCATTTAACAGTAATATCTAAAAATAAAAATTTCTTTGCAACCATAAAAGTAAAATAGAAAATGACATCATAATCATAGCTAAAAATAAACAAAAATTTTTTTATTGGCAAATTTTAAATGGAGTTTATTATACTAAAACAATAAATTTGCAACCATAAACATGATAAAACCCCATTTAAACACATCATAAAAGTATTAAATAATTCAACTACATCATAAGGCTATAAAAATAGAAAATGACTTCATAGTCAAGGCTAAAGGTAAACAAAAAACCTTCATCAGCAAAATTTTATATTGGCAAATTTCCAATGAAGTTTATTACACTAAAATTGTTGGCAAATTTCCAATGCATTTATTAACAATAAAGTTATTGGCAAATTTCCAATTTACATAATTTAAAAGCAGTGTAGATGAGATATTTAAATGAGTTTGAATTACCAACCTTACACTGCTTTTAAATAATGTTCTTTACTCAATTATTTGTCTATTAAAATGGAAACCCTTGTTTTTTAACCTTTTTTCCCCTTATTCCTTAAACATAAGAGTAATAACCACCCCCCCCCCCCCCCCCCCCCCCCCCCCCCCAAAGTCAATTATTACTTTCCAATGTAACCTAAATTTCCAATATACATAATTTTAAATTCAATTCCTCATGATATATAACCGTATCGTTATTATTTTCTTTCATATATAAATCTGAAACAATAACTAACTTAAAATGTAAATTTTAAACAAACAAAAAATTATCCCTTTTTTGACCCCCGCCCCCCTTATGATTCATCACCCCCACCCCCCTTTCCCCCCAAACCAAGCTCACTAACAGCCTTGCCTTTGTGGTATGGTACCTTGTAATACAATTTTAGAGAGATCCATACACTTGAACACAAGTTATTGTCTAGAAACTAAAAAATGCTTATTTTAAACCCCTTTTTAGGCCCCTTATTACTAAACGTTTTGGGCAATTACCACAACACTCAATTCCAGCTTTCCCTTTGTGAAATGGAACCTTGTAGTAAAATTTCAGAAAGATCCATACACTTACACACAAGTTATTGTCATGAAACTAGAAAAATGCTTGTTTTTTGCCCCCTTTTGGCCCCTTATTCCTAAAATTTTGAGGCAATTAACCCCAAAATCAATCCCAGCATTGACCCTTTGTGATATGGAATCTTGTGGTACAATGTCAAAGAGATCCATATGCTAACACACAAGTTATGTCTGGAAGTTACAAAAATGCTTATTTTCGGCCCCTTTTTGGCCCCTAATTCCTTAACTGTTGGTACCATAACCCCCAAAATCAATCCCCACCTTCCTATTGTGGTATTGAACCTTATGGTAAAATTTCATAGAGATCCATTCACTTAAACTAAAGTTAGAGTGCGAAAACCATTGTGTATTCGGACGACGACGACGACGAGGACGAGGACGACGACGACGACGACGCCAACGTCATACCAATATACGACCTCAAAATTTTTTTGCGGTCGTATTTAAAATACCTTGCAGTTTTTAATGTCTGGAATACACTTTTAACAAACTAATACAATTTAAACCCTACTATGAAGTTTGGAATACTAATAGAGGATTGTCTTTGCATTAAATGTATGTTAAGTAAGCAGCAATCAATCAATCATAAAATATACTCAACCTTCCACATGGTAATGCCATTGTCCTGATACAAATGGAGTACAGATGTCTCTCTTGTTCTTCAATGAAATCATGATCACTGAAATATCAAAATTTCTAAAAATAAGTTTACATCTACTTTTGCTTCATATAATTCCTAGAATAATAACATTGCAGTATATATATCTATTTACCTATCATAAACATTATTTCATTTTAAAGATATTATGAAGGAAAAAAAAAACCAATGCAAGTCTTATAGTTAAGTTTCCAAAAGCAAAATTTTAAAGATACATGTAAACTTTAGTCAAGACCAATACTAGGTATGGACATGCATAGCTGCATGCAATTGTTTAAGGTAATATGTTTACTGGATCATAACTGATCATTCCCTTTCACTGATGCCAAGAAAACTTTGTTGATATTCCTTCAACAGGAGTCAAGAAAACTTTGGAGAAAATTTTCCTTGTACAATGAGTGTTGTAAAATGTCAAGCTATAGGCAAACAGAAAGTGGCTACACAGTAGATGTAAAAATTTCTTACTCAACTACAACTCAACATAATCAAGCTGCAGACTAAATATTAAATCATTCCCTTTCATAGAAGCCAAGAAAACTTTAACAAAAGTTTTCTTTTTGGACGGACTGAAAGAAGGACGGAAGGAGTCCACCAGTCACTAGACATGCTTCCGCCTTCTATGATATTTTACCTAACTTCTGGTCTCTGCACAAGAGCTATCCTAGCAGGCCTTGATGATTGCAACAGTCTTCTTACTTCTTGGACTCGTAAATCTTCACTAAATCTCAGTTTTAATAGCTGAAAGAAATAGTAGAAAATACAAATTTATAACATTCACATGTTCACATCTTTGTCTTATAGTCATTGTTCATTATTTGTCTCAGGTAGAATGATCCATATTTAATTATATCCATGTCATTAACTTTTCTTTACCACAAAAAGTCAGAAAGCCTGAGAAAGACCATTGAAATATATAGACTATGATGTAGCTAGCAAACTCCCTGGACCATTATTACAGTATGGGTGCATACCAAAGTAACCATGAAGAATTAACATTTACCTCTTCATCAGTATGTGCCATGCCATCCTCTTCTTCCTTTGTTTCTTTATTTTTAGACTGGTACCAATTATTTACACCTGGTCTTGGTTCTGGCTTAGCTTTAGTCAATGATAACAGTTGTGATATGTCTTGTCGACCTATAAAAGTACATAACAGGAGGTGGAGGGGATTATCTAAAACAATCTACAGCTACAATATTTGTACATTTTTTTTTCTATTTTCAAGATTTAGGCCAAAATTGTAAGTTCAGTTACTTATAATACTAGTACCAATTGTTAAGAATGATGGCAAAAAATGACTTGAACTATTAAGGTGTAGAACTCTTTATACAAGCAAAGACATCCTGTAAAATTTCACTGATCTTTTTTGATCACTTGAGGAATTGATTACTCCCCCTGCCTCCCCATCATTTAACAGATTTCTACTCCAGTTAATTATGACAATCAAGGTTAAAAAATACCTATGAGAACATATGCCTCCTCTGGCCAATCAGATGGTGGATTGCATCTACAGTGGAATATAGCTTCACGAAATGGTAGAGCTATTCCTATTGGAAGGCGTTCTAAATCTCTCTTTGTCATACCTGAAAATATGTCAAATAGAAAGATTGTGAGCTCTGAGGAAACATGAACCATTTATTTTTTAATGAAGATTAGCAATATTGATTAATCTGTATTATTTCAGTTTAATTCCTATCATGTATACAGATCTTATATTGAACAAATATATACAATCCACACTAATAGTGATCAATAATCACTGAAAAAGAAGTAATAAATCCAATCAGTCTAAGACAAAGTACTCCACTAAAGAAAATATACTCATAAAAACAAAAAATTCTTAACAAGTCAAGTATATTATTATCCACTTGAGGTTTACTTTATGAACAAATGAATATGGGATATTAAAATTAACTTACTATCACAGCGAAAAAAGTCTTACAATCAGAATCTAGGTCAGTTAAATTATGCATAAACAACTTTTTTAAGGCTATGTCTATCCCATAAATTTGAACATACTGTAAATTCAGAAATTTTTTCGAATGTTTTTATTATTGAGAAAGGGGCAACTTGACAGGTCTTGACCAAAAAAACCTCACATTTTAAATTTTTATAGCATCATTTGTATGCTGCATTTCCTGAAATTGCAATAATGACTCTTTCATTTTTGTCAATTCTTCAACTGTCCCAATGATGAATGCATGCAAAAATTTCAGAATTTATAGGATATGGTATAATTTGATACTTTAATTACTTTTTTTAAGAAGTAGAAAATTATCAGCTTGACATATTTATCATTAATCTTACAGTAAGATCTACATTAAAAATATATGGAATTGATAAAAAAAAAGTAAGAAACATAACAATAAAATAAAATCTGATAAATACCCAGTTCTGTCATATATAAAACCATCCTTTCTAGTACACTAGCTGTAGGTACAGTGATAGAGAAACTCCGGGAGAAACTCCTGGACATTGATAAATCACAGGTAGGAGCTCTGTGGCCTGTTCAAAATACATATATGTAATGAAAACACACTCACACATATAATAAGTTTTAATAACACTGTTTCTTACATATTTTAAGATCAATAAAAAAATTGAAAAAAAAAAACAAGTAGAAAGATGGCACATCGAAATTTTCCTCCCTAAAACATATCCAAAATACTGCTGAAAATCAAAAACATCATAGTAATCTAGGAATCAATGACAAATTTTCATAAATACATTGGACTGCGCCTTCATATACAGAAAAAACTTTTGGAAAACCCTGTTGAAAAAAATTAGGCAAGGATTTTCCTAACCCTGGCTGACCCGTCATGTCTGGGGGGGTACATGCCCAATAACACTTGATCAAGAAAAAGTCCTTTTAGGGCCCCTCCTTAAAAAAATTGCGACAGGGGTTCCCCTGAAACTGGAGGCTAACCTGCCAGGTCTAGGAGGCACATGCCCAATGAATATATTCCTGAAAAATAAAAAGCCATAGTTATGAGATTTTATCCAGAAACCCAGATTTTAAGAATTTTCTATATCATATAACTGTCTATTTTTGTAACTGACCTTAACCTATGACCTATTGTCCTTGAATTCAAGTCTTTGATCTTTTCCTTTTAGCTGCCACTTATATATTCCTAAAGTAATCACCAAGAAACAACAACTTGCACCTCATCTTCAATAGCGGTATGTTTAGTTTATTTTATCTGCTGTGACCATGAATTTTACATAAAAATCAAAACAGCCCTTCCCTTTTCCTTTATCGTATGTCTACATAAGTTTCATTTGTAATTCAAAAAAGGAATCAAATTTATATTTGAAACCAAATTTCCCCCCAAAAATATATATTCTTAGTAACAGCAACCTTAAATTTTGACCTAATGACCCAAAAATCAAAAGCTTTTGCTCCTTCCCTATATCTTCAAAGCATTAGTTTCAGACTGATAGCCTGTACATGTACAGACAGATTAACAAAGTGATGAATATATGCTGCAGAATATTTTTTTCAGAGGTATAAAAATGAATGACCTTTGACTTGATGGACTACATAACTTGTCCCTGGGCCTGCCTGAAATATTACTGGGAAATTACTAAGATTCTGTTAAAATTCTGCAAAAATCAGCTCTCGTAATTGCCATTATAATACAAATATACAGGTAATATTTACATTTCTTAATTAAAACTTACATTACAACATGTTCTATCGTTTTATTTTTATAAATGTCTTTCCGAAATAAATATGCAGAAATACTCTGATGAGAATCAAGACACCATTCAACCACATGCATCTTGCTCCCTAAATATTTGCCACATTAATATATATATTCTCAATCCACTAATGACAAACATATATAATGAAAACGTGCAATTGTTTCATATTCAACATACAGATGATGGAGATGAGGAGAAACACATACATAACAACAAGACAAATAAAACTGGTACTACAGGGACAACACAACAAAATTTAATAAGAATTATCTTATGAATTTTATCCTATACTAGAAAAAATTGGAGAGTTATTAACACACTCTTAACCCCCCTCCTACAAAACACATTTTGTCTCTAATTGTCCAAGAATGAATTATAGTATATGAAGAAAGATTCCTCAAGTTTTTTGCACAATTTACTACTCCTCTTCGTATATTCAGCTTCAAAATATATGCAGCAGTTATTTATGAATATAAAAAATTGAGCTTCAGTCCACTCTAAAGACTATCTCCATCTTACTACCAATAGCCTTCCAGGAAATGATGAAATGGAAAACAGCAATAATCACATTGTCCATCCATCTGATATTGGCTATTTTACTGATTTCTAGGTATCTGGGGATTTCTATGAGGCAAAAGGATTATTTCATTAACTGTTTATAAAGAATGATTGTAAAGAAGCAAGACGATCTTTACTATTAGAAAGGAAATTTGCTAGCCTCGTAGTATTAAAGGAATGTCCTACCCACCATATCTTTTTTTATCAATCTGATTAAATATTGAGATTTTAGACTACAGATAAGCAACCATATCTCTTTTTCTCCATCTGATAAAATATTGAGATTTTAGACTGCAGATAAGCAACCATATCTCTTTTTCTCCATCTGATTAAATATTGAGATTTAAGACAGAAGAAAAGCAACCATATCTCTTTTTCTCCATCTGATTAAATTGAGATGTAAGACAGCAGAAAAGCAACCACATTTCTTTTTCTCCTTTTGATTAAATATTGAGATTTAAGACAGCAGAAAAGCAACCATATCTCTTTTTCTCCGTCTGATTAAATATTGAGATTTAAGACAGCAGAAAAGCAACCATATCTCTTTTTCTCCGTCTGATTAAATATTGAGATTTTAGACTGCAGAAAAGCAATCATATCTCTTTTTCTCTATTTGATTAAATATTGAGATTTTAGACTGCAGAAAAGCAATCATATCTCTTTTTCTCCATCTAATAAAATATTGAGATTTTAGACTGCAGATAAAGCAGGAGTAACATTGTTAGATGATTAAAATGAAGCTATTTTTTTAATTTATGAACCATTATCCGTGCAATTTCTGCCGTCTGCTCCTACTAATGGATATGAAAAATACATTTTTGATAGATATAGAAGAATACAACACCAGAGTAGGAAAGGAAAAGTAAAATTACCAGTACCTGATTTAATCTTTGTACCTATCATTTATCATCAATAATATTAAAGCGTCTGGCATAAACATATATATGTAACAAATCTGTACTGCAAACACATAATATAAACAACCAATACAGGTCAAAAAGAAAGTTAATTAAAAATTTTATGTTGTCAAAATGTCACAAAGATGGTTTAAGATATATCATTCAGAATGATGCATCATGTCAATATACTATATGAAAAAATTCTTGTGTAAAGGGTATGTTCAAGTTGTTCTGTTCTATTATGCATACTTCCATCTTAATGTTTTTACTGTAGGCTATGTTCTCAATCTTACTGTTAATTATATATTGGGAACAACAAAAGACATCCAGAGTTTAGACTTAATTATCATATGATTGTAAGACGCCATTCATACTTGGACATTTAGATTGATTTAAGTCAAATGTGAATGCTTTGAATCGATCCTGAAATGTTCTAAACTAAAACACAAAAAGAGGTAGTTTAGTTTGAATCGATCTAAAGTGAACCGATCTAACTTTAAATTTGAAAGCAGATATCGATCTAAACTAGTACGATTGAATCGAAAGTAATTTGTGCACATGTATGGCGGCAAAACAACACATATAATTTATTACAAAATGGATGATCAACAAATAGTTCCCTTCGCCATAGCATAAATTTTCAAGATCTGTGTCTTTTTTCTTCTGTTGTTTTGGTTGTTTCAGGAACCGCAGCATTTCACAACGGTGTAACTTCCTTGCTAAAGTTTTTTGTATGAAAATTAACGAAAACTGTAAGAACAGCAACATTTAAACTTGTAATTCAGGTGAAACAATAACTTCACCCATTATTTATGCAAGCGTATGTATCAATGCATTATTTTGAAAGAATATTTCTATTTATACACAGTGTTTATAGTTTCACAGGTAATAAGGTCAGATCCATTGCATGGTTACTTGTAGTGTGATGGCAGTGATTCAGATTAGACTTATAGAGATCGTAAGGATTAAAGATGATGTTAATGCTTACTGGTTTTATTTAGATCGATTCATATTAAGATCGATTAAAAAAATGCTAGTGTGAATGAGGTCTTAAAAGCTCCAAATAGCCAATATAGTTAAATATATACTAATGTCACCATTTTCTGCACAAAAAGTACTTTGTTGCTTGCCTAGCCAGATTTTCTCTATATGTAGCAGTTTTTAAGATAATAGACAAAACTTGTATTTTATCCTAATGTTCTATTTAAAGCCATGTCAGCCATGTTGGTTTACAGGCAGGGTCATTGGACACATTTTTTAAACAAGATACCCTAATGATGATTGTGGCCAAGTTTGGTTAAATTCAGCTGAGTAGTTTCAGAAAAGAAGATTTTTCTAAAAGTAAAAGGATGATGATGACGGACAACATACGCCAAGTGATGAGAAAAGCTAATTGATCAGGAAAAATAATAGAGCACTTTTTAAACATCATTCCTGCACACATCTTCGCTAGCCAAGGGTTACGATCCACTTCCCTCCTCTCCACCCTTGGCAGATTAAGCCAACATTTGTGATAACAATGTTGCGCCATCTATCGGTAGATTAAAGTCACGCCCATTCCGAATACATTATTCTTGACCAATGGTAGCACTTGAACTCTTCAAATTTGAGGTAAAAATACGGTAGCGTCTAGATTCTACACACTTGGTAAAGCAGGAAACGAAAATATACGTTGACATTCATGCATTTGTGCAAGAAACATACACAGGAACTTCTATTAGTTGATTAAAAACATTCAAAATTATCACTAAATATAGTCGTATGTTTAGGGATGTAAAGATTTGTTTGCACAATAAGCATGTGGCAATTGTTTACATACACTTTCTACATTTACACGTGATCATGTTATAGGCACTTTTTGATTGGATGTAGCGAGTTTCGACTGCAACCAATGAAAATCGTTACCTTGTGTCTCCGAAATTCTATATCAATCTGCCAAGGGTGGAGAGGAGGGAAGTGGATCGTAACCCTTGGCTAGCGAAGATGTCCTGCACAGTTTTAAAGGATAAATCAAAAAAAAAAAAAAAAAATATATCAAAATAAATGGCAGATGATGGAAATTGAGCCAGGTGAGTGAAAAGGGAGATAATCATCCATCAGAAAACAGACCAACAACACAAATCTACCAAAAAATAGACATTCAGCTGTCACCATAAACAACACTGAACCATGGCAAATAGTCAAGTGCAAACTGGCATACTCTATCTAAATAACTCTTTAACCCAGCTTTGGCTATACTTTTTGTCCCTTTTGGTTTATACGCTCTTCATTATTTCAATAAACTTTGGATTTTCAAATATTTTGGCCTCGAGCATCACTAAAGAGACATTTATTGTCGAAATGTGCATCTGGTGCAGAAAAATTGGTATATACTAATCTCAAAATAATGGAAAAAAAAAGTAAAAGTATAAATCCTCCAGCAAAACCGTAATTTATTATTTGCAATTGTGCAAAATTCCCTCATTGCTATTTTAAATGGTTGACATGACATACCTGCAGGTGCTACTCTTCTTAAGCATCTCTCAATGGCTTGTTCTGTGTTTAAGTTCTTCTTCATCATCAATGCATACAACTGAAATATTATCATTATACTAAATTGTGAGTAAATATCATAAGATTAACACAAAACTATTTGTCTATACTGCTGTTGGTACACCAGGGTACTTACTATATTATAATAACATAAAAAAAGTCATTTATAAAATTTAGATAAAGAATATCTCTTGACCTTAAAGAAGTTTCTGTCCTATTTACATTTAAACAATTTGATTATGATATTTAAATGCTATAAACTTTAATAAAATACTTTACAATTATTGATGAAGCTGAAGTGGATAGAATAAGATTAATATGTCTTACCTACATAATATTCTACAGATGTGAGACATTTAAATGAAAGAAAAGCCTTTATGATGAATATCTATTTGAAGACAAAATATACTAAGAATCATAGCAATTCATGTTCATGAGGTGTCAATTTTAATAAATTTTGACACAAGAATTTAATTCAGGATGTGTTTTCATTTAATATAAAATTTTGTTAAAAACAAAGCCCTTTATATTTATAGATGTTTCTGATAATTTTGACACAAGGGATCAATTTGGAATGCCTATTACACCAAAACATTATTTTTTTTTTTAAATTTAAACACAAAATGATATTTCTCAAATTTATTATTTGTGGTTTTTTTTTCTCACAAAAAAACTTTTAACCTCATATTTGAGGGACTGACAAAATGGACCGACAGGGGTAAAAAGTATACCCCATCCTTCAGAGTAGATGTATAATAACAATTCTCTGATTACTTACTGAGATAACATTCCTGATATTGTTACACACTGCAGGTATAAAGGGAAATAATCCAGGATCTTCATTCCTCATATGTTTCAATACCCACTGGTAGACTGATGGTACATGTTCACTGTAAATACCTGGGTACTGCATCTTTGTTAAATTTTCTGAAGACAAAATATACTAAGAATCAATCAGACTCATATTGTCATAAATAAAACTAGAATGGTTTCCTCATTGGGACTTATACAAGTTACCTACAGCTTCATAAAACAGTAACAAAATAAGATGTGGCTTTGAGGTTATTGCAATAATTACTTGTGTTTTTGTAATTAGCAAACCTGACCAATTGAAAACAAATCTTAGAGTCTGTAATAATTATCATAATAGACATAAGAATGCAGTACAAAGGTATGTCTGAATGTGATTTCAATAAACAATAATGTCAGTACAAAGGTTGTAAATTTACCACCTTAAAAGTTTCACCATGTTTATTAATCTAAAAAGTACAAAATCTATATCCATATCCATAGTTTTTGTAATTTAAGTAAGAGTTATATCCCATGGCTGCTATGTTGGGAGTCAATGTGCATAAATTCCTTCTTAAACCAGCTAAATTCAAATTGTTATACTAACCACTAGACTTTAAAAAAAGTTTTTTTTCTGAACAATTTTCATTTGTTTAAGCCTTGTATGTTTCACAACTACAATATAGTAAAAGATTTCTTATTAGACTTGCTTGTACCACAAGTTTGAATTTGGTAAGTCTAATGAGAAAACCAACCAGTTTGTTCCCATAACATGACTTCCAAGGGAAGCAACTCCCACTCAAATTATGTCAAACACTGTAGTGAAAAACGGTTTTGATCTTATCCACAAACATTAAAAAAAGTATGACAACTGGTGACTAAGATTATACCTACCGCTGTTTATCTGACTAATGTCATCAATTTGTTGAAACAAATGTGGATAATCTCTACAGTAATAATCTGTGTAGTTAGAACACTTCAAATCACTAAAATTAAAAGAACACATGTTTTTTCTCTCTCATGACAGTCAACATATCGATATAAGTTTTAATATGTTGTCAATTTTTTTTCTATACCATGCAAGGAACTAAATATAAATACAGAACTATTAGAGGTATTTAAAAGCATGTCTATACCATGTTTTCTATGGTATTTAAACACCTTATTACAGTTTTCTTGACAAATCAGTCATGTAGCATTTAGTTTCACTACTAGTATACATAAAATTATTATTTACCTGGCTATCTGCAGCAAGATAGGAGCTAACTTAGAGAGTTCATCTGTTAGCAAAATGTTCAACTTCATATCCTGGTAAAAAAAAACTAAACAATCAACACTTTAACATGATATTTTTGTATGATTTCAATGGAGGAAAACATTTCCAAATGTGTAAATCAAACTTTAAGATGAACATACTTCTACATTATGTGATCACTTATACATATCTTAAACATCTTAAATATGAGCAAAAGCTTTAAAGTTACACGAAACAGAGTAAAATTACAACTTCATTTAATTAAGAACATGGATAAACATTGGAATTATGAACACATTTTATGTTGATCTGTAAATTGCACCTGTAATGACATCAGTACAATATCACATGCATCATTGTAATGTATTTCACCAGGAAAAATTTCAATTTATAACATTAATACACTACTACACTAAATTTTACACAGCTCTATTCAGACATTTGCAATTTGCAGGACCTGAATACATCCAAAAGTAAACCTTCTCATTCCAATTTAATGGCAGTATAATATCATATATATTTGATAATCTGCAATATAGTTCATCATTTTGTCTTTCACAAAATTCAATTTACTATCCTATAATGTAAATCCAATTCCTTTGCTTTAAAACTTCCACTTCAGACATTTATTGCTAGAATAATAACCTAGCTTACCTCATATACAAGATGTAAAGCCATCAATATAGATGGTATATGTACAAACAATTGTGCAGATGTATTGATGCCACAAGGTTTAGAGTATGATGTGGAATCAGGTAATGAGCTTGCATGACTTAGACCCAGTGATGATTCCATGGTGGCACTCATAAATTCATTGTGATCAGAATTTACCAAAAATTCCCAGTCCTGTAAAAAAAAAACATTGTAGTTTTGAATATTTTTTTGCGATTAATCATCTTTCTGATATGTATTTTCTTTTACTATGTGAAATTAACATTTGTCCTCTTGATATCAAAATTACAGACATCTTTTAATTGAAATAAAATATGATTATGAAATAACAATTTAGAAACCACTTTTTTTATCATTCAGTCATTGTTATAATATAGAATTCTGTAGCATTATTACATTTATTTCTATCAAATTACATCAGAAGTTACTCCCTCTCAAATTATACCTACTATATAACATTAGCATTATTGGATGAATTTTTAATCTATGGATCAGAAAGACACTGCTTTATGGATATAAAATTTCCAGTTTTTTACTTTTGAATATTATAGTGTACATAATTCAATCATGCATAGGATATTTCAACACGGGGCTATTACACTGTAACATACATGGTACGCAGGAAAGGCACTTTTAAAACGGGGGTAACCATCTATCCTATAGATACAAATTTAGAATATCACTTACATTTTCGCTGTACTATACATCTACAGATAGTGGAGATTTTGAAGTGCCTTCCCTGCGTCCCATGTATGTTTTACAGGAACTTCCATCAAAAGTATGAACAGTAAATTAAAGCCCCTTACCTCTTCACAACCTTGATCAGACTGTTTGGGTTTCTTTTGAGCAACAACAGGTGACATGGAAACATCCAAATCTTGCTGTAAAAATATAAAAAAATGTGAGTCAATCAAATAATATCTGGGCAAGCAGTAGTGAACATGTACTAATCACTATATAATCATATAGTCAGCCTTCAGCAAGTAAAATGAGGATAAGGGTCATTTTGATGTAATAGGTCAACTGGAAGAAAATGCAAACCCATTCTGCAACTACATACCAAAATTCATGTTAATCTCTGCAGGCAGGATAAAAAAGAGCTGATAACTGTTATATTTTAAATGATGGACAAGATTAAGTGGAAATCACTCAACTGGCAAAAAGTATGCTATTTTGATTTTGATTTTCACCTTTACTGCAATCAGTTATGTTTTTGTAATTGATACTGTAAATTCTGAAATTATTGCATGCATTTGTTATTGCGATTTTTGAAGAATGGACAAAAAAGCGAGATCAATTATTGCAATTTCTGGAAAATCTGTATACAGATATCTGTATCAGATATCAGAATGTGAGTTCTTATTATTGCGATAATCACCAAATCGCATTATTCACATTAATAAAAACCTCGCAATAATTTCTGAATTTACAGTATCTTATAATGATTAAACATAGCAAAAACTACAGAATTTTTATATAGTAGTCTAAAGAAAAAAAGCTGCAGTTTAAAGGGTATATCAGAAAGGGGTCATATAATTGCTACTTTCAAATAAAAGTTCATATGTAATGTATTCAATATTCAAATTTGTGATTTGCTTCTAGCAATGAATTCCATAACCATTGGCATTTCACAGTTATTCATGAATCCACAATACCTGACTTGTCAAGGCTAATCTTGTAGTATCATAGCCCATAAGATTTAATAAACATCGTGTAAACAAAGCCCATTCAGACTGGTTTCCTAGTCCTCCTGGAGTGTTTCTTGCTGTATACCATTTACCAAGTAACAGGATGGCAAGGTCTTTTGGTAACATATGTTTTAGACCATTCAGACAAGCTTCAACTGCAAATAAATTTTATTTATTAGGAAACTGACATGAAGGTTCTACCTTGTAAACTGTAAGAAAAAAATCCACAGATGAAACTTATACCATAAATATAAATTTCCCCAAAATTGAATAATTTCAACAATTGGCAATTTTGTGAAAAAATTATGAATTCAAAATCCTGTCCATATGCACATCTTCAATATATGTATAACTTTTAAACAAAATAAAAAGTTTGTACTTTTCAAACTGTAAAAAAACATGTGGTTGGACTTACAGATGGAAACAAATATCCACCACACATTTAAAAAAAACATAGCAAGAATGTGTTCATAGTACACAGATGCTCCACTCGCACTATCATTTTCTATGTTCAATGGACTGTGAAATTGGCGGGTCAAAACTCTAATTTTGCATTAAAATTAGAAAGATCATATCATAGGGAACATGTGTAATAAGTTTCAAGTTGATTTGATTTCAACTTCATCAAAAACTACCTTGACCAAAAATTTTAACCAAAAACTTTAACCTGAAGCGGGACAGACAGATGGACGGACGAATGAACGGACGAACGAACGGACGCATAGACCGAAAAACATAATGCCCCTCTGTGGGGCATAAAAAACAATAATTATCAATAACATGAATTATCTGTTTTATTTTTATCCATGCCATCTTGATTATTGTATTTTCACATGAGGTAAAAAAAAATACTTACTGCCTGGAGAATTAGTCTGGCTAGGCATAGCAGCTCTACATAGGTGACCATTCATTAATTCCTGAAATATGTTTATCATTAGGCCACACCAATTTGATTAATAGTTCTTTGGATTTTCCCGCTCCTGTTTTGGAGAAATTGACTTTTCAATAAAAAAAAATAATTACCGCTTCCGCAAATTTTTGGGCCGCATGCCGCTCCAAAATTAGTTTCTCCTTGAAATTTTTTTTTCACATAGACGTTTTTCTTGTGCATATATTGCTCCTGTCGATTCAAACGCACGTGTGGTAAATCGATTTGTAAATAATAGGTCAAAAATCGGAATGCCAACATGTAGTTGTGTCAGCTCATTGCCATGGACAAGTAGTTATTGAACTCACAGTTATCTGAAATGCATCTCGTTTTATTATTAAAGACCAGTTCTAGGAGGCAAAAATTAAAAAAAACTTTCGTTAGATGACCACAATTACATCAATATGTTTACTCTGACGTCCAACGGCTGTTTTGCCAGACAAGCTGAGGCCGAGGGACCACAGCCCCAGCTTGTCTGGCAACACAGCCGTTGGACGTCAGAGTAATCTCGGACTATATTTGTTAGAACCATCATCATCTCCGATCATCGTTTCAACAGACATAGACATATATCTATCTTTAATGAAATTAATATTAAATTCCCATGATTCCCTTATTTTGATGAAACCCCTTATTCCCTTGTTAGTCTTTTGGCATGCAAGCAGATCTCTTTTGTAAGGGTAAATTTAAGAGTTCCAACATGGTGGTATTGGGATTGGCATGCTCATAATAATTTGTGATGTGTTATCAACCAGTTCTAGTCAAGTTAAAGAGTTTTAAATGCATTGCAGCTTTTAGGAGCAAAAGGAAAGAGTATATTTTGCTAAGTCAGAATAATCCATGTGAATGTGGTGACAGGTATTTTAAAGGGATATATTTTAATACATTGAGATCTACATGCATATCAATATAACTATCTTACTCATCATGCTCATGATGTTGTTGAAATATTCACATCACTCATTCTGTTGATCCTAAATAATGATAAATAGTTCCAACTGGATGTCAAGCAGCCAATAAACAATCATTACCATATAATGAAAACATCAAAAAATATTGTGCATGGGCATTTTTTGGGATACATACACATATTTTGATTTATTCAACATATGTCATTTATCCTACTTACATAATTTCTCTTGTTTAACTGCATCTGCAATGCTTTCTTAATATATACACATGTATGGATTTAAATGAAAATTCACACAGACCAAGCTTATTTGACGAAAATAATCAGCTGAACCACAGCGTGACTAGAAAGTTGGGTATGGTACAGGCACCAATACATCAAATTATATGCATTAGAGCATCTGTTTCTCCTTGTTTTTCCATGAAGGAACCCAGTTTTAACATGTACATAAATTCTGAATCGCAAAATCAAAAAAAAAATTATACCGCTTGCTTCACTTGTAGAGCACTCGCCTCACAAAAACTCATTTTGAAGAAATAAATACAATAAAAAAAATTTCGCTCGCTCGTCCCATATTTTTTGGAGCTTTTGTCTGAAGAACTACAAATCAAATTGGTGTGGCCTTAGATATGCAATATTTATCTACATAATAATTCAAATTATAAAAATTAGTATGACAAATGCTTTGTATTATCTTGAAGATAATGCAACAGATCATAGTGTCTAAAATGATATATGTATTTCTTGCTTAACCAGCATCTAATCAAGTTTTTCTAATGGGTTTAACATTTATGTGAAAAAATTTGTTTTGATAAAAATCACAATGCTTAATTCAAAGGAATATTGATAAGGATGGGATAAATGAACAAATATACTGACACCGCTATCACTATCATATACCAGTAATTGCTTGGGAAGTATAGAAATGCTTACATGCTTTTTACTATCTTTAATGATTATTCCCTGTCATTGATACTTACAATCGTAAACTTTACTCCTACATTATCCCTGAGACCTTGTACATATCCAGTCTGCACTGGACAATCCTCAAAGTTAGCTGATTCATCTGCATCTGATACTGGAGAAATATGGTTTAGCTGTAATCACATAACAAAAAATTTATATTTGACTTTCCATAATACAAAATTGAGATAATCAATGAATTTATGCAGTATAACATACTTAATAAGGTAACAATATATTTGAATACATATGGTATGCTTGTGTGTGTGTGATAACCAATAGAAAAAAATCATTACATCTATTCATGTATGGTGTAACAGTCTTCATGCATGTCCTCTAACTATACACCTTATCACTATTTATTCCTATCCAGATAAGTTCTAAAATTACACAACTTTTCAAACTAGTTGAACTATCTGGGGCCTTGTTCAAACAATATATTGTGCATAAAACTTTTCATAGAGACATGTTTAAACCATTGTAAACACATCAATGACATTAATTTGTCTTTTAAAAATTGCTTCAAAATTGAACTATCAAAATGTTAAAATGTCCGCTTTCCAAACCTTTTCCTCCCTCAGCTCATTGCTGCTGACCTTTGTTTTGTACCACTTGACCTCAACAGGAAGTTGTCTAACTGTTTTTCCCGGATTGGACTAAATAGCGATAAGGTGTATTGATATGCTGCTGTCTTTTATATATATTTCAAGTTATGTAGGACTTTATATTGACCTTTAAGTGTAGTGTATTTGATATTTTCTATTTTCAATACCAAAAGATGAGAATAATTTGTGCTGCTTAGGCTTATTTAAAGAATCTGCTGGAACAAACCCATCATGGTATTTATTGCAATCACATGATCAACCATGGCTTTTGGTGCAATCACATGATCCATCATGGCATTTAAAGCAATCACATGATCCACCATGGAATTTAATACAATCATATGATGCACCATGGCATTAATTGCAATCATCTACCATGGCAATTATTGTATCATATGGTCAATCATGGTATTTATTGCAATCATATGGTCCATCATGTCCATCATTGCAATAACATGGTCCATATTTACATTTATTGCAATCACATGGTCAATAATGGCTATTATTGCAATCACATGGTTCATCATGACATCTATTGCAATCACTAGTCTATCATGGTATGAGCTGCAATCACTAGTCCAGTATCACCTGTCCAGTATGATATTTATTTCAATCACTTGATCCATCATGGCCATTATTGCAATCACCTAGTGAATTCAGGTACAGGTTTATCATTTGTCAATGTGTCCAAACTGAAATATCATACCTCTTCATCATCAAATCTAGCATCCATAGCACTAGGAGGTCTACTTGAGGTAAATATTCTACCTCTGGTAGGACTGTTTAATGGTGTCACAGTCCTCAACATACTAATAGATCCTGTCCCTATAGGTAAGGTTGGTACATGGAGCCTGTTGATCTGTGAAAATATTTATTAAAATTCAGCAAAAATATTAGTTAACCTCTGACACAAGCATTTTTTTTTTAAATATACTTGAATTAAATGAGGTTGATGTTTCATATTCTAAAGGCTCAAAGGAACCTATATTCATCATCTTCTTATAAAATTGAGAATGGAAATGGGGAATGTGTCAAAGAGACAACAACCCGACCATAGAACAGACAACAGCAGAAGGTCACCAACAGGTCTTCAATGCAGCGAGAAATTCCCGCACCCGGAGGCGTCCTTCAGCTGGCCCCTAAACAAATATATATACTATTTCAGTGATAATGAACGCCATACTAAACTCCAAATTGTACACAAGAAACTAAAATTAAAAATAAAAGGCTAGAGGATCCTGACTTGGGACAGGCGCAAAAATGCGGCGGGGTTAAACATGTTTATGAGATTATGTATATATATTAGGGCTTACACTGGCAAAAGCAATATATAGTCTCCCTGATGTTCAAGCAGTCATTTGTGAGGTAACAGATTACATTTTTAGCACAACTGTTTTAAACAGAAAGCAGTAAAATTCTAAATTTCTACATATCAAGTCCCCACCCCCCAAAAAAGAAGAAATATTGGCAACTATGTTTGGTAGAGAAATTGTTTGGTTTTATTGTAATTTTTCTTAGTTTATTTATTTTTCAAAATTGTTTTTATATGACTACTTCAAGTACCAGTTCTCTTGGCTATAAACTACCAAACAGAATTATATTTTAGACAAGTTGAATTGTAGTCCAGACAGAGTTGTGTCGTTCATGAAGATGACTGACAATAGACACTTACTGATGACAATAGTTCTCATAAAATTTCAGGACAACATAAATAAATAAACTGTTAACACAGATATATGTCTCGCCTATTTGTTATTTTGATAATGCAAATGTTGAAATTAAAATAGCAATACTTTAACATGTAAGTTATGCAAATATTCAAAGTCAATGAACCATGACTGAAGGTACAGGGCTAAACAATCTCATGGAAATGAGATGTGCCAATGCTAATACAACTGCAAACCAAATACCATTGACTTTTCATAAGTCGTTCCCTTTAAACAAACCTAAACACAAACAGTAACTTGTAAACTATGTAAAAGTTTCAAAGTCAATGAACCATAATTAAGGGGTGGGGTTTTATAATCTCCATGGAAATGAAACTTGCAAATGCCAATACATTTGCATACTGAATATCATTGACTTAACATTAGTGGTTCATCTTAAACTGACCTAATCACACACTCATACATGTAAACTAAGCAAAAGTTTCAAAGTCAATTAACTCATGACTGAGGGGTAAGGACCAAATATTCTCCATGGAAATGAGATGTGCTAATGCTTATACAACTGCATACCAATTATCATTGACCTACCACTAACAGTTCCCCTTAAACTGACCTAATCACAAACTAATACATGAAAACTAAGCAAAAGTTTCAAAGTCAATAGACCATGAATGAGGGGGCGGGGCGAAATAATCTCCATGGCAATGAGATATGCCAATGTTTATACAACTGCATACCAAATATCATTGACCTACCACTAGTGGTTCCCCATAAACTGACCTAATCACAAACTAATACATGTAAACTAAGCAAAAGTTTCAAAGTCAATAGACCTTGACTGAGGGGGCGGTGCAAAATAATCTCCATGGTAATGAGATGTGCCAATGCTTATACAACTGCATACCAAATATCATTGACCTACCACTAGTGGTTCCCCATAAACTGACCTGATCACAAACTAATACATGTAAACTAAGCAAAGTTTCAAAGTCAATAGACCTTGACTGAGGGGGTGAGGCCAAATAATCTCCATGGTAATGAGATGTGCCAATGCTAATACAACTGCATACCAAATATCATTGACCTACCACTAGTGGTTCACCATGAACTAGACCTAATCACAAACTAATACATTGTTAAAGCTGCCGCCGCCGTCGCCACCGCCGACACCGGAAACAGCATATCTATGTCTTGCTTTTTGACTCTGTCAAGGCGAGACAAAAAGGAACTAAATAAAAAGATAATATAGTTTCAGAAATTAATACATATCCCCTTATAAATCAGATCTTACCTTTGTGCTCCCACTATAAACCCATAATACGTTTGTAGGGTCAATTACTATCAAAAGATCTAAAGTCTGAAAAATAGAATATGGTACTCTTTTATATATTTTTACGAAAATTTTATGCATCGTATGAGGTTTTCATATGAATTTAAAGTGTATATAATAAATGAAGTGTGGATACAATGACTAAGGAAATTTTTGGAAATGGATTTGACCACACCCTCCTTTCTGATAATATTTGAATTAAAAATTATTACATCTTACAGTGTTTTTACTGTTTTTATAGCCTATCTGCAAATAAAAAAAATGTTTACAATTCAAAATTACTTGTTTACATAACAAGTTGAAACTTTTATCTATAGTTTAATATAAAATATGCAGATGTTGTTTGATTGCCAATAATTGACTCACCTTAAAAGTAATAAGTACTGTAAAGTCACTAATTATTGCATGCATTAATTATTGCGATTTTTCAAGAAAGGATAAAACTGTGAGATTAATCATTGTGATTTCAGGAAAATCTGCATACAGCTATATGTATCAGATATCAGAATGTGAGTTCTTATTATTGCGATACTCACCCAGTCGCATTATTCGCATTAATAAAAATGTTGCAATAATTTCTGAATTGACAGTATTCAACGAATTTAATTTCTCACATTATATAATTATTTCTAAAGGGATTATTCCAACATTTTGTAACCAATGGATACAGATTTTGATCACAAGATACATATTCACACCAGGAAACAAGAATAATTTTTGAAAGTATTCAAGGTAAAATACATAACCTAAAAAATGGGTATATTGAACCTTTAGTAAAATGACTAAAACACTCAATACAGCTTAAGACATTATTTGACGGTTCAATTCTTTGGTTCTGCAGAATAAGTTATCCTACATGAATATCACCATGTTTAAAATATTCCATAGTAAATGAGTATGTTTACAAAGGATCATAAGAGTCCTTCCAAAATTAAAGTTTTGCAGGAAAATAATTTTGATACATCAGATTCACACAAAAATATTCTTTTTTAAATGTATGAATATTTCCTGTCATCAAGAAAACATGCATGACATCACAATTGTGACAAATTTTAGCAAAGTTGTCTACGTAGTTTATGATGAACTGTTTATCAACAGTGATCAATAGCCTGTCATCTCTGAGAATGTGAGTCGGAACCCTGTTCGTGGCCAGGTGTGTGTTGGACTGTGATCTTAATTGACAAGGATTGTTAGTTTTCATGCCAAAGGTCAGTGGTTCTCTCAAGAGACTACAGCTTCATCCACCAATAAAATATGGCAACCCTGATACAGCCAAGGGAGCTGAAAATGACATTAAATACACAAACAAACCATAGAAAACAGTATGTTAACCTCCAGATTTTTTTGCCTATTTGTGTCATTGGATTACTATCTCATTAAAATATACTCCATATCTAATTTTATCTTACCTCCTATACATTTCTAGGAATATTATTGATTATTGGTTAAAAGCGACCGCATGGAGACAGTGTATATTTAATATGGGGTTAGTAGGCATGTTTTATTCTAATACACGGTTAGTAGTGGTTTTACTTCCCTTTATAAAAACAACATTGCGTTGAGGAAAAATCTGAAACGTATCGCCCAAACAACAGATGAAGAAATTGATGATGAAATCAAAGCTAACAAGCTGTTATTGTTGGCATTAGTATTTTTTATAGACCAATGGAAGTAGGTTCTTTATATTGACGACCTGACCACTTTGATAGGCCACTAGTCTAAATGCCACATGTTAAGATAGCCGGTTAGATAAATTCGTTAACCAGTGTGCTAGTGACCTAATACCATATAAATGGGGTCAGTAAATTCCATATGGGGGGAGAGAGCGAATCTATAGGGTCAGTAAATTCCATGTATATCATATTAGGACCAGGGCTTCCAAAATATATTTGAGCCAGCCGAACATTTTTTGTCTTATCCCGATTTAAATCCCTGAAGACTTAGTTAAAAAAGGCAAGCATTTTAATCAGTTGGTTATCATATGAATAATGATTGACACATAAACGATTTTAATTTAAACTTGACTTTTGATAAAGATTTGATGTTCTGACGTAAACTGTTCAAATGACAGTGCATCATTCGAAGTGTGCATCATCAGCGTACTAATATTAATATCTGCCTTAGACTCTTTATTTTTGGCAAATTAGGTGTCAACAACTTCGTTTTCGATTTTAAAAAACATATTTTTCTAATAAAGGATGTTGACTTTACAATGGTAAAACATGGACCGTAGACGGATACGTAAAATCTGTATATGTTTACAAAGCACGATTATTTCTTCAGGAAAATATCGAATTGAACATGTTAGATTAAGGTATCAATGATGATTTTAGCGTTTTTTTTAAAATTGGATGCATAATTAAACCTCACACCTGTGCACATGTGCACGCGTGTACTAGTTTCAAACAACATGGTTCTGACTATTTTTCATTTACAACCTTTACTGCTACCTTTTACAATTTTCATCAAATTCTGTTCATGTACGTGTATTTCACATAACATATTAATTTTTTTTGACTAAATTGATAAGATGCAAACCCCTGAAATTAAAAAAAACCAAAAAACTTTTAAATAAATAGAATGATCTACATCCAGTAAAAAATAGTTTACCTGTTGCTTGAAAATTATGATCTTATCGTCTTAAATACGTTTTTTTCAATAGTATTAATTTATTTTGCTTAAAAGTAGTTAGATCTAAACCAGGATTGTTTTCAATTTTAATAAAAAAATATCTTCCGAAAAGATCCGAGTGATGTCTGGTACAAATATTTTACCCGACACTGGTGATCACAGGTAAATCTCACCTTTTTAACACTTAATTAATATTGATTGGAATGAGAGGTGATTACAGTAGGGCTTCTTTATAGATTAATGTCACTTTTATGACAGAAAAATTGTGGCTGTTAAAGGCACAAGGTCAAGTCTAATTGGTTGATTTTTCTGAATCGCATGAATGTTAAAATGGCAAACCCAAGTAGGATGTCCGTTTCATGCTTGGCCCAGTCTGACAATGTCCAGTAAACTGACATCTGTCTGGCAAATACGACCGTTTTGGAAGCCTTGAATAGGTCACTAGCACACAGTGTAACTAACAATATTTATATTACATTTATATCTGATTTTATAGAAAACTTTAATACTTACTTCAACTGGCAAAGCATCTTTTGCCTGTATTACAGATACTGCACCAAAAATCAGCTGACTAAGGTCATTGCTTTCTTCAAACTTTACACATCTATGGAAAAAACATGAGGTTGCTGATAATCATATTTTTTTCATCAAATATAGAAAGTAAAATTTGATTGCCAGTTTACTATCAACAGCATTGATATTGCAGGTCGCCATGATATTTTGATTTTCAGCACTTTTTTCTTGGGAATCTTCTGTTATGCATGATGAATCAAAATAAAATATACCTTCCAACAGCTTATACTATTATTTCTGGCTAAGCTGTCATGATGATATTTCCTTCAAGCAAAATCTTTACTGGTCATTTTTATAGCATTTTATTCATTTATAGATTTATAGTTGAATTTTTATATATTCAGAGTCAAATTTAAGTTCACAATAACAAATAAAAGTATAAAACTACAAATTTTCCAAAGATAATTCACAATCAAAAACGGAGTTGAAAATAAAAGCCTACCTTAGTTGTTGTCTGTATGATATAAGATAGCACATATATTGTTGTCCACATAGATCTCTGGTCAGGAAGGCTTTAGATGACTTTCCTAAAGATCCATCTCTACAAATCATTCAATTTAGTTATGCTTAATTCACAACCAATCTTTATCCCTTTAGAAACATTTTATATACATAATCTATAACTGGAGCCTTGTTGTTCACTCAAACATCTTCTTAGTCCAATCATTGACAGTTTTATACATTCAGTTATATGCGATATAAACCAGAATATTTTGTGATTTTGGTTTATTTTAATGTAGTGTTATAGCTTCATTTACAAACAATTATACTTCCTTTTTATGTTTTCAACATGTGACAAACACAGTTATTTAAATAAAATTTCAAATTGTGAACATTGGAACAGTGCAGTTTATATGCAATTTTTTTTCTCCTGGCATAACAGTCATGGTAGCATCTCAATTTTGTTATGTTTTTAATTTGGCCAACACTTACTTAAGACACAATTAAAAAAAAATTGTCAGAAATAGTGGACCGCATTGTTTATGCTGTAGACTGAATAAAGTAAAACTTTTACCTAATGGCTGGTGCAGGTTCTGTCCACAGATGTTCAAAGCATACTTCTGGTTTGAGTGGTTCTACCCATTCAGAGTAGCTCTCATTGATTAATGATACATTATAGGAACCTACAGGTGGTGTCCTGAAGAAACCAGCAGGACTTCTGGCTACACTAGGGGATGGAGACTGGAACCTGATCACTGATGCTGTACCCACAACTGCTGGTGACTGAGCTCGACTATTAAATATGAGATTATTGAATAACAGACAAGATCTTTAGCACATGCATGTGTATAATTTACTTTATGGTGTTTTCTTTCTTGTTGCTGCTTTTCTTAATGGTTTTTTACACTTTTTATGAATTTAATTACCTATCTAGATTGCATTTTGCATTAATTTTATGCATTCAAAATTCAAAACTACATATCATGTTTGAATTTTTTGAATAAATTCTTAAGATTTTTTTCCAACTTTGCCGATTATTCTTCAATTTGTCTTTCTATACCAAGATTTACAAAATTTTATACTGTTTGTGCCTTTTACAAGTAATAATCTTTAATAAAAATATAATAATTGTTTTTTAAATTAGGGTTTTTCCAGTAATAAATGGGGGGTTGGAAGGCACTTTTTATTTAACCCTGCCGTGCATAAAATTTTGATTGATTATTTCATGAATAATTGTTAGGCTATCTGTCTATAATAACCCCCCCCCCCCCCCCCCCATTCAATTACTCCTGGAAAGGCCCTTAGTAACCACAACCACAAAATACCTGACAGCAGCCATAGTATTAACAGCTGGACTCAGACTTTGGGATCTGATAAATCCACCACCAGGAGAACTGATTCTTCCAGAGAAGTTTCGCATAGGAGATACACTTGGTGATTGGGCCGACAAGTTGCTGATAAAACGAGAATGACTACTTGCTGACATATTCAGTCCAATGGAAGTGGTATTACCAGGGGGCTGTAGGAAACTGGTTTCAAAAGTTGCACATACTGAACTGCACTCCTGTACATATATATTAATAAAATAGATCATAAAGAAGTAAAAATACAATCTTAGACTACTTACTAAATAAGTGTGTATGAATCAAAATCTTCATACAAAATGACTATATTGTACCATAATATATAATTTTGAATAAATTTCTACAACATTTTGAAGCAATTTTTTACAAATATACAATGTAGTATCTGTATCGTATAAATTAAAACTTTTTAATGCTTAGTATTTTTTGTTTGACACCTTTTTTTTCTGTAAACTAATAGCATGGAATGACTTTCTTTAAACTAGATATTCAGGTGTTTTTTTTTCACTTTGATTCAATTGACTAGTATTATGAACTGTAATTATTAGGGATGTCAATGAGTACTCAAGTACTCGAGTACCGAGTATCGAATACCAAAATGATACTCGACTAATCGGTTTCCTGTTAAAATGTTGTTGCTTTCTCAAGCTTTAACAAAAAATATTTTATTGAGAAATTAAATATTAATCAAAATTAAAATACGTTTCGAATGTTGGCGTTTAATTGTCATTTAAAATTCCTGCGAACAGAGGTAGGCTATAAACAAGAGCACCTTTCCAAGGTTTACACTTTTAGCTAATCTTAGTCATTCCCCCACCTCTGTACCGTCAGAGCAAATATTTTCATCAGCAGGACTGTTAATTACATAAAAAAGTTGAGAAATATTTCTAAATAAGAACAAATTCGTTGCACCCTGTGTCGACCCTCAGAAAATGATTAAAGGCATCAGTAAGTTCAAAACATCACCCCTTTGTTGATCATTAAATGTTTTTTTTACGGTTCCCAAATACAATTGTTTGCGTAATCATTTTTCTAAAGATGTTTATTAATTAATTGATTAGATTATTGCCAGTTTACTTAATTTGTACAAGTAGTAAATGAGCTATTAATTATGGTATAAAATTCCTGGAACTATTATCTAGTCCTAAGTAATAATGTTAAGGGTTTTACGTCCATAAGACAAAGACCCACAATACGTAAAATGGGTATAATTTTGTATTTCCATTTTGTAGGTGTTTTTCCCGAGCGAGTACTCGAGTATCGCTCGGTAAATCCAACGAGTACTCGATCAGTAAATCTTTACTGAGTTGACATCCCTAGCAATCATCATTTCTTACATCTGCTCTGGCTTTTCTGACCCTCCAAACAGTATGTACTCCAATCATTGTATCATATGTAAATACAAGGGATGGTTCTACACTGGTAAACACTATGTGCTGAGTATTATCTGTTAAGTAGGAAATCTTAGGGTATCCACTTACACCTATAGTATATATAAAATGACTGATATAATCTTATAGACAAAATTATTTAAAATGGACTTTATGGATCATGCATATTTATTTCAAAACTAAGGTTAAACTCCTCTATACATCCAGGTAGTTGATTTTTGTCTTGTTTGTTTGTCTTGCTTTCACATTTTTATGAGTATGTTTCCAAAAGATGCATTTACTTAATTATAAGTATTCTTTCAATGAAAAACAATAATAAATTGTTAACACAGAGATATGTCTAGCCTTTTTGTAATTTAATTTTAACAATGCAAATTTTGAAATTAAAATAGCAATACTTTAACATGTAAGTTATGCAAATATTCAAAGTCAATGAACCATGACTGAAGGTACATGTGCCAATTCTAATACAACTGCATACCAAATACAATGTACCATTGACTTATCATAAGTTGTTCCCTTTAAAAAAACCTAACCACAAATATTAACTTGTAAACTAAGTAAAAGTGTCAAAGTCAATGAACCATGATGATGATGGAAATGAGACTTGCAAATGCCAATAAATTTGCATACTAAATATCATTGACTTAACATTACTGATTCATCTTAAACCAACCTAATCACAAACTAATACATGTAAACTAAGCAAAAGTTTTTAAGTCAATAGACCATGACTGAGGGGGCAGGGTCAAATAATCTCCATGGAAATGAGATATGCCAATGCTTATACAACTGCATACCAAATATCATTGGCCTACCACTAGTGGTTCCCCATAAACTGACCTAATCACAAACTAATACATGTAAACTAAGCAAAAGTTTCAAAGTCAATAGACCATGATTGAGGGGGCAGGGCCAATAATCTCCAAGGAAATGATATGTGCCAATGCTAATACAACTGCATACCAAATATCATTGACCTACCACTAGTGGTTCACCATAAACTAGACCTAATCACAAACTAATACATTGTTGACGCCGACGCTGGAAACAGCATACCTATGTCTCGCTTTTTGACTCCGTCAAGGCGAGACAAAAACCATAATAAAAAAATGCATTGAAAAATTTACAGCTCTGAATTTTTATTTATCTAATAATAGAAACAACTGGAATCAATTTTTATCGGGTTTTGTTTTTAATTTTTTTTTTAGCTTCAATAAAATTATAATATCTTTATCCCTAGTTTCTGTTATCAGACATGAATGACTTTAATCAACTTTATAACAATTAAATTAATTACTTTCTACAAAAGCTTTACTTTCTCATTTATGCAAAATGCTTATTCAGTAATAACATACCTGATGTTTTAGTTATGACTGGAGCTACTTCATCCAATGGATGTAACATACTGAATACTGTTGTCTGATTAGGAGAATTTCTATAATGAAGTAACAAACTTGAGAGACTCTGCAAAACATCTAGACAATGCAAATTACTTAACAAAATTGTAATGATTCTTAACTATGATTGTTGATGAACAACACTGTAATATTGAAAATAAAACCTATTTCTCAAAAATATTTTGCGATAGGTTTCTGAGAAACGGACATTTATGTATTCAAAACTTAACAAAGTTGTTCTGGTACAAGATGTTCTCATATATCAATGATACATTACAAAAGGTTTCTCAAACAATAGACCATATAAGCAAATCTTTACCAAAAGCAAACACAGAATAAACTTATGTTTCCAATGAGGATTACCTTTTACCACTTGTCATCTCTGTTGGTGACACTGTTCTCTCAAATAATAAACCATTCTTGATAACCCAGGAATTAGCAACCTATAAAACAATTTGAAGTGTTAATTTTGACAATTCAAATCCGTAATTCTTTAATTCAAATATTTAAAAACTAGATATGGACAATGCCCCCCCCCCCCTTTTCTGCTCTGCCATATGCATGAGTATAGTTCCAAAAATTTTAGATTTGACAAATAGTGATGTTGGCATACAACTTGAAATTGTTACGCTGTCTGTAAGACACAAATATGCCCCCGCCTGACCAACAAAATGACTAAGTCCAACTACCTGTCATTTTCAGAATATTTAAAAGAAATCAAAATTCTGTGGCCATGCATATCCATTATGTGTATGAACATCCTACAAAATACTAAAGCTGTACCTCCAAAACTGTAGGAGGAGATAGCCGGACAAACAATGTATCCTAAACAGACGGACGCACAGGGGTTAATTAATACGCCCCTCGACATTTTGTCGCGGGGGCATAAAAAATTTAACAGGTATGTTTTAGCTTCTTTACTCTTTTTTTCTAATTCAAATTGATGGTTAAAAGATGTTGGGTTTTTTTTATGGTGCTATAATCAATTTTTGGAATTCAAAAATTCAGTAAATTTTGTTTATTGGGGATTAAATTTTTGGATCCTGTTGTTTAATGAAATCTTAAAATTTAAAACCCTACAAGATGAACAAACACTCTACCATAAACCTTAAAAATTGCAATACATTATTAGGGCTATTCCATTAAAAAAGAAAACATGGGACCCATAGAAGACACTTCAAAATCTCAACTATGGGTAGTTATACACTATATATATGAAGGTGTCAAATTTTTTACAGTATGTAGAAAATGATTTATTTTAAGATGTAATAAATCAACATAAAGTTATATTTCGTTGTGAAAGATGAGTTTTAATTTGCTCAAATTGTAAATTTGTTTTCAAAATATTAATATCAAGGGTCAGGTCATTAAATTTTTTTCCATTGTAAATGTAAGTGAATTCTAAAATTACCTCTATACATAGTTACAAGAGTTTCAAAAAGATTTTTAATTTTTATTATGTTTTATGAAACTTCGGTAGCTTACAGCTTAAACACAAATGGGACGACTGGAGATGATTGAAGACTGAGAGTATTCAAAAGGCAACGAAAGGACTTAAAGCTGAGTTAACAATAGTACTCAATTAACAGATGTTGTAAATAATCTTAGAATATTCCTCTTGGTATATAGTGTCTGAATGGTGAACACCAATGTAATTTTTGAACAAACCTGAAATGGTAAAGCTGTGTTGAATTCTCCTCCTTTTTCCATAAAACAGCTTACTGAACCTGATTCCACTACACATATACCTTTTTGTAAATCACCTTTAAATATATATTACACATATGTACATGTTTAAATCTGTAGATCATATATATCAAAGCATCTAAACTTCAATATGCATTGGTTTTTATTATCAATCACAACACGATAAACATTCCCTATCTAAGAGATAGCAGTTATTATAGTCTGCATCAAAATCTTTTTCAACTACTAGTCCAAAGATCCATTATTTCAACATTTTTCTTTTATGTCTAAACAAACTTTTGAAAATACTTACTAGTCCAAATAGAATTTTACTAGTCTGGGGCATTGGATTAGTACAAACTGTTATTAAAGTCATAAGTTAAACAAAAATGCCTAGAAATCGGCACATAGTTTTTAAGCTTTCTACTTAGAATGGAAATATTTTGAAATGAATGTCCATTATTTTTTAATAGGCATATACATTTTTTTTTACAGAAAAACTAAAAAATTGTCCCCCCCAAAGAACTTATTAGATTCTTTATAAAAAATTCTGAGTTAACATGGTAGTTATTGAAATGACTGTAATAAGATGTATTTGTGAGTTTAAATAAAGAACATATAACATACCCTGAATATCAGTGGTGGGTATGGAATTAACAGGAATCTCACTTTTTGGTAAAATAAAACTACACCAGAGTGCCTGTAAAACAATAGATAAGCATTAAACTTATAAAATAAATTAAACTCTGAATGCAACACTTAAATAATACTCAAAATTGACAACAACACTTCAAATGGTCTGCAATTTTATTATCTAAGGTTTACATGTTTCGCCTGCAAGGCAGGCGTCATCAGGACAATTTATATGAAAAATAATAGGTATGAAGTACTTCATAGATTGAAAACGAAAGTGTTTGAGTTATAAATATATTGTTATAAAGTTCTATATAATAAGAACACAGTGGTATTACTGGTACATAAGTCGATTATACTTTCATCAATTGTTAAGTCTATTATTGAGGTATGGTTTTTGTTTGAAGTTTTCTCTAAATAACTGTAATTTTAGGTAGTATATTGATCCCAGCTTTCGTAGTGATGGTAGGTCTCTGGGTGGTATGTTTTCTTTTCTGTTAAATATCCATGGCTGTTGATTTGGTATTTGTTCCACTCAATTGTTGGGCTGTGATTTTGAGAATTAACGGTACTATTAGATTCAGATAAGTACAGATCACTTTCCAAATTGTTTGGTGTATTGTTCTTCTTTTCCGGGTAGGTTACAGTTGGTTTGCCTGGGATAACTCTAAAGGTTGGTTTCTTTGTAACATCCCATTTGCACGCTTCGAAAGGTGGCACCCATTTCTCAATTTGGGTGGCCATCTGTTTTGGTGTTCCTGATGTTTCAGTGTAATTTTTTTCGTCTGTGTCTTCATGTTTTTCACGGATGTGTTTTTTAATGTTATATTTCTTAGTGAAGTTGGCGTAACATAAACTGCAGTTGAAAATCTTGACTGTATCTTCATGGAAGGTGCGGTTATGTCTTTTCAATGTTAAGATGTTTGCAAGTTTCTTATTACATTTAGTGCAGTTGATCCCGATTGTCTTATCATTGTTCTATTTCCTTGGAGTAGTTTTAGTTTCAGCCATTTTAGTGTCTTTTGTTTAATCACCAGGGTTCTGCTGTTGATAGTTTACTTATACACCCTTCTTCTGTTCTTAGGCGAATGTTTACGTCGGTTGGTGTTTTAACGATGCCTGTTATTGTTACGTCGTGCTTACTGTGACAAGGAAACGTGAAATGTATTGATACTGGTTTGTATTTGTTTTCAGTATCAATATCTTGAAAATGTCCCCTGAATCTTTCTTTAAGAGTATTTCCAGGTTGTCCTATGTATTGTAAATGACATATTCTGCATTCAATCATGTATACTACATTGTTAGTAGTATATGATATGTCGTCTCTAATCTTTATTTGATAGTTATTGGCATGGCTTTTTACCAAATCGGTTCTTATCATGTGTCTGCAAAGGTAGCAATTAAGCCCGCAAGGCTTGCTATCTATCTTTCCGTACTTTTGTTTGATGTCACTCTTAACTAGCATATTTCTTAAACTTACATTTCGGCTATATGCGACTGTATATTTGTATTTGGCGAGGTTCATGGCGTCTGGTAATCTGTTTAAAATATATTTCCGATTGGTTAAGATTTTTGATATATTTTCGGTTTGCAGATATAGTTAATGTAACAAAGGGAATGGTTTGGTTCTGTACTTAGATCTGTTCTTCTTTTAATAATTCACTTCTATTTATAGCTTTTTCCTTGGATATAGCTTGTTTTATGATATTTTCTGGATAGTTTTTTTCTAGAAATTTTTCACGCATTCTTTGTGTGTGGATTTCAAAATCTTCTGTTTTCTTCGTATCCTTAGTGCCTGACTGAATGGGATACTTCTTTTTTGGTGTGGTCGGTGGTTGGAGTTATAGTGTAGGTAAGTGTTCCAATCTGTGGGTTTGGTGTATAGGGTGGTATAAATTGTTCCATCTATTTCTTTAATTACGGTGGTGTCAAGGAAGTTGATACACTCATTATTTTGCTCCCTAGTGAATTTTATTGTTGGGTGGAATTCGTTCAGCCTTTCCATGAAGGAATTTAGATCCTCGCTTGTGTGAGGCCATATGTCATCAATTAACCTCCACCACACAAGTGGTTTGAGGTCCTGTGTGTTCAAAAATTCTCTCTCTAGTTTATCCATAAATATGATTGCGTATTCTGGTGCCATTATGGTCCCCATGCTTGTTCCCATTACTTGTTGGTAATATTTGTCATTGAATCTAAAGCAATTTTTTTAAGTATAAAGTGCATAAATCTCAATAAAATCCAAGTTGGAGGTTTCTTTGTTTCTTGTTTGTCCAATTGTTCTTTTGAGGCTAAAATCCCTTCTCTGTGTGGTATCGTTGTATATAAAGATGAAATGTCAACTGTGGTTAGAATGCTATTTGGTGGTATTTGTTTTAATTCTTCTATTTTCATGAGAAAGTTCTTTGTATCTTTTATGTACATGTAGGATGGTACTTGTTTAATAAATGGTTTAAGGTAATGGTCTACTATTTTGGATAGTTTTGAGGTCGGCGAATCTATTTGTGAACTTATTGGTCTTCCGGGGTTACCTAGTTTAAATGTATTTTTGGTAATAAGTAAAATATAGGTCCTATATTGTTTTGAAGAAAAGTAATCTGTTATATCAGTTGGTAGGTTATAGCGTACCAGTTTAATAAATTCTTTAATCTCCTGTACGATTTTATGATTTATATCTTTTGGAAGTGGTTTGTAAAACTCTTCGTCTGAGAGTTGTTATTCTACTTCTCGAAGGTAATCATTTTGTTTAAAATTACAATTGCTCCTCCTTAATCTGCTGGTTTAATTACTAAATTTGGGTTGCTCCTCAATTCTTCTATTGCTTTGATATCTGTTTTATTTACGTTCCAGTACTTATTATGAGTGGTTCCTGTGGTGATCTCTTCTGTTGTTATGCTGAGGAAATTATCTAATTCTCTGTTTTTCCCGATGGGGGGTTCCATGCATTAGTGGTCTTGAAAGGCCTTGGTTCTTGGTTAGTTAAAGTGGTTGGTCCGAAATGGTGTTTAAGGCGAATTCTTCGGTTAAACAACAGTGTATCTCGTAATAATTGTAAATCGGTTTGGTTATGGATTGTTGGGCTGTAGCTTAGACCTTTATTTAATACTGATTTTTGGGTTTCCGTTAGATATGTTTCTGATAGGTTTACAATTGTATTATCGTTCACTGTACGTTTCTTTAGTCTTCTGTATTTATTTCTTTTGATGAATTTCCTGTTTCTTGGCATGATTTATTTATTCTATTGTTTTCCGAATCTTGTGAAGTATTCAAAGTGAGTGGTACTGGTAGAGATGTCGAGGTTTACTTTTGCTGTGGTCTGAATTGTTTTTCATTTATTTCTTTTTCTATGGATAATTTCTTGGACTCTATTAATTGGGTTATGTGCTCCATTTCCTCTGTCTCAGTTGACTCCTGTAATTCTTGTTTCAATTCTTCTATCTGTTCCATAATTTTTTGACATCTATCTTCCCAATAAGTAGCAAGTAGTTTTACTAGACTTCTTCTGTGATTTAACTGTGCTTGTTCCCAGTTTCTTAACAATTCAGGGGTGGTATCTGGTACTTGTGGTTGAATCGTAGATCGTAGTTTAACATTTAGTTTGCAGTACGTTCTGAAGAGTGCTACATTATCTTCCTTCACTCTTTGTCTATGCTCGTTAGCATTTGGGGTGGTGGTCTCTGTTCCTGTTCTTTTTCTTTTATTTGGATTGGAGTCTTGGTCCTTTCTGTTTTCTGCTATTTGGTACTTTGCGTCTTGGAAATCTTCTTGATTGTCTATGCTGGTGGCTGGCGTCAGCGCTGTTAGCTTGGCGGTTCCTTTCTGATGCAGGGGTTCACGAATACATTAATTTTAGATTAAACTCCGTTTGGTGAACCAACGCCTGTGAAATCGTTTTGGTAGAATACCTGAAGTGGATACCTTGGTATGCTGGGTTGTTCCTACCCGGAAAAGAACAATACACCAAACAATTTGGAAAGTGATCTGTACTTATCTGAATCTAATAGTAATCGTAAACTGTTAATACAGAGATATGTCTCGCCTATTTGTTATTTTGATATTGCAAATGTTGAAACTAAAATAGCAATACTTTAAAATGCAAGTTATGCAAATATTCAAAGTTAATGAACCATGACTGAAGGTACAGGGCTAAGCAATCTCCATGGAAATGAGATGTGCCAATGCTTATACAACTGCAAACCAAATACCATTGACTTTTCATAAGTCATTCCCTTTAAACAAACCTAAACACAAACATTAACGTGTAAACTATGTAAAAGTTTCAAAGTCAATGAACCATAATTAAGGGGTGGGGTTATATAATCTCCATGGAAATGAAACTTGCATTTCATTTGCATACCTAATATCATTGACCTAACATTAGTGGTTCCCAATAAACTGACCTAATCTCAAACTAATACATGTAAACTAAGCAAAGTTTCAAAGTCAATAGACCTTGACTGAGGGATGGGGCCAAATAATCCCCATGGTAATGAGATATGCCAATGCTAATACAACTGCATATCAAATATCATTGACCTACCACTAGTGGTCTCCAATAAACTACCTAATCACAAACTAATACATGTAAACTAAGTAAAGTTTCAAAGTCAATAGACCTTGACTAAGGCAGGGCCTAATCTAGGATTTTGAAGAGGGAGAAGTGACTTCTCCTTCCATGATAAAGAAGGGAGAAGTGGTGAACTTCTTGGAGAAGTGAAATTCCATTACCGTTTCGGTTGCATCGTGTTTTCATGCTTACATGTATCATTAAAGAAATTGTTTTATATCCAATAAAAGATATACTTGCAGTTTTTTCATATGTTATTGTACACAATGTATATATAGAAAGTTCTTAATAAAAAGGTTTAGACAATATATAGTTGTTATTTATTTATTGATACCATAATGTGTTCTAAATAAAATTTGTTGAATGGGACATGAGGGAGTAGCCTAGTAATATTACCAAGATTATGATGCATTAAATTCATGTGCATCTGCCTCAATTAATTTTTAAAACTCCAGAAAAATATGACTCCTAGTTTACCTGATGAATTTCACATGACTGGGAATTAATTTATATCACCATTTGTCATTATTTTGTAACACATTATTGAATGTCCAGGACATTTATGTTAGTTGTAAATTGAGATTATCGTTAAAGATTGTAAGTCTATAAATGAAAATATCTTTCATTCGCAAATTAATTATCCAATAAAGAGCTAATTTCTATCATTTTTTTAAAATATCATCCATATCAACGAAGTGGTCATGAGAAAAAATCCACTGCTGATCACAATCTGGTCGAGTGTCGTACGTTTGTAATCACATTATCCATCAGCTGTCTTTCTACCTTTTATATTTCTATTTTTATTCAATGAATATAATAAATCTACCGTTAATTCTCACCCTTTACCTACCGAATAGTAAAATTGATAGACTCGTGTAGGTAATAAAAATAAAACAAATCAGCTGCGTGATTACGCAACATCCTCAGATGAAAATCATCGTAAAACGATTACTTAAACAGACGGTCAGATTCCGTTTGAACAGTTTTAAAAGTTATATCCGAGGATGTTCAAAGTCGCAGTTGTATTTATTTAATTTGATCGTTTACAGTATTAGTCATGGGTCGTTTTTGAAAATCTTGATTTTCCATGTCAGCCGCCATTTTTTTTTACCTGTGAGACATGTCAATCACAAATTGTCTCCCTTTTACAGATTTTGATAGCAATTTGACTTCGCTATGAAGTCAGTCGGCCGGCGAGTTTTAGCGATTTTCAAAATTCTTTGGTGACTTAAATCGTCATTTCGCCGGCAAGATTATGGCCTGGACTAAGGGGACGGGGCCAAATAATCCCCATGGTAATGAGATGTGCCAATGCTTATACAACTGCATACCAAATATCATTGACCTACCACTAGTGGTTCACCATGAACTAGACCTAATCACAAACTAATACATTGTTGACGCCGACAACAGCATACCTATGTCTCGCTTTTTGACTCTGTCAAGGCGAGACAAAAATCACAGCCCAACAATTGATTGGAACAAATACCAAATCAACAGCCATGGATATTTAACAGAAAAGAAAACATACCACCCAGAGACTTACCATCACTACAAAAGCTGGGATCAATATACTACGAATAATTACAGTTATTTAGAGAAAACTTCAAACAAAAACCATACCTCAATAATAGACTTAACAAATGATAAATGTACCAGTAATACCACTGTGTGCTAATTATATAGAACTTTATAACAATATATATTTATAACTCGAACACTTTCGTTTTCAATCTATTTTTAATCATTCTATTTTTATTTGTACAATAACAATCAACATTACGTTACCAATACTTACCATTATTAATTGTCACGTCATTTTCCATGTACCACTTTGAGTACTCATACCTATTATTTTACATATAAATTGTCCTGATGACGCCTGCTTTGCAGGCGAAACATGTAGACCTTAGATAATAAAACTGCAGACCATTTGAAGTGTTGTTGTCAATTTTGAGTATTATTATAAAATAAATCTTATTTGATAATCATCATCATTTTATTCATGGTACTTACTATGGCACAAACTTTGAAATAATATAGTAAGACAGTGCTTTGAATTTATCACAACTGTCAAAAAAGGAAATTAATAAGAATGATTATTAAAAATCTAAGAAATGGATATCATTTCATATGAACTACAGGCAAATGACAGGTACTGCAAGAAAAGCACACAAAAGACCCTACCCAAAGCCTTGCAAATTCCATGGTTTACAAAGGGAAACCCTAAAAATAATTCATATAAAAAAACATGGCAATATATGGTTAAGATTCTGAGAAATTATCAAAACTTGAACGGAAGGACAAAAGGATGAACTTCCCCTTTACTACAAACCGCTTACTTCAGAAAATGGGGGCGGAGTGAGTATAAGCGCTCACAAACATGTTTAACCCCGCCACATTCTTTGTGTGCCTGTCCCAAGTCAGGAGCCTGTAGTTCAGTGGTTGTTGTTGGTTCATGTCTGTCATATTTGTCTTTCGTAAATTGTTTTGTTATAAAATAGGCCATTAGTTTTCTCAATTGAATTGTTTCATATTTTTCATGTCGAAGCCTTTTATAGCTGGCTATACGGTATGGGTTTTTCTCATTGTTGAAGGCGGTACAGTTGCCTATAATTGCTTACATCCACTTCATTTGAACTTTGGTGGATAGTTGTCTCATTGGCAATCATACCACATCTCCTTATTTTCATATATGTAATTATTAATACAATCTACTAATTTAATACCCGTCTACTTGGACAGAATTTACTAGGGAAGATCATATAACAGAAAGTGTAATATGTTAAAACTTTTTATTAACACACAGCATTTTATATTTTCAGGGTTTCCAACAGTTAAACAAGGGGTTCTTTGTCTGATAAAGAGGAGTAGATTTGCACAGCTACATGTACATTGATTTCTGTTACTCTTCCCTTATAGAAATTTATACAATTGGCAATAAAATATACAGGTATCAAATATTATCCCTGCTGTTTGATTTCAAGCTATTTTAACCTAAATGTCTTTAATTCTATCGTCCTCACCTGTAACACCTGAGATTCTACAGTAAAGGTCTTCATCACTGTCCTGGCCCCATTCTGTCCTCCTTTGCTCCATACTACAGTGGAACCACTCACATACAGTTCTTCATCAAATTCCTCTTCTGTTGCGATTGGGTCATCTATATGATGTCGGAAATGCCACTGCTCTTTCTGAAAATAACAAAAATAAAATGCTTCGCTGGGGCACAGCTTGATACGACCGCAGAGGTCGAACCCTGAACAGTTGGGGCAAGTATGGACACAACATTCAAGCTTGATACAGCTCTGAATTTGGATTGTTATTAAATATTTGACACAGCATAGGTTTCTGACACAGAAAGAATGTGGTCTAAGAACTTGAATTTTTTTAATTTACCTATTATGGTCCAATGTCCAAAATCAAAATACATGGTTAGATTCAGCATATCAAAGAACCCCATATTTTCAATTTTTGTTGAAATCAAACAAAGTTTAATTTTGGACCCCAACTTGGACAAACTTGAAAACTGGGCCCATAACCAAAAATCTAAACACATGTTTAGATTCAGCATATCAAAGAACCCCAATAATTCAATTTTTGCTAAAATCAAACTAAGTTTAATTTTGGACCCTTTGGACCTTAATGTAGACCAATTTAAAAAACGGGACTTAAAATTAAAAATCTAAATACACAGTTAGATTTGGAATATCAAAGAACTCCAATAATTCAATTTTTGATGAATTCAAACAAAGTTTAATTTTGGACCCTTTTGACCTCAATATGAACCTATTTGATAGCGGGGCCCACAAATAAAAAAATCTAAATTCATGGTTAGATTCAGCATATCAAAGAACCCCATATATTCAATTTTTGTTGAAATCAAAAAAAGTTTAATTTTGGACCCCAACTTGGACCAACTTGAAAACTGGGCCCATAATCAAAAATCTAAACACATGTTTAGATTTAGCATATCAAAGAACCCTAAGAATTCAATTTTTGTTAAAATCAAACTAAGTTTAATTTTGGACCCTTTGGACCTCAATGAAGACCAATTTTAAAAAATGGGACCCAAATTAAAAATCTAAAAACACGGTTAGATTTGGCATATCAAAGAACCCCAATAATTCAATTTTTGATGAAATCAAACAAAGTTTAATTTTAGACCCTTTTGACCTCAATATGAACCAATTTGATAGCGGGGCCCACAAATAAAAAATCTAAATACATGGTTAGATTCAGCATATCAAAGAACCTCATATATTCAATTTTTGTTGAAATCAAACAAAGTTTAATTTTGGACCCCAATTTGGACCAACTTGAAAACTGGGCCCATAATCAAAAATCTAAATACATGTTTAGATTCAGCATATCAAAGAACCCCATATATTCAATTTTTGTTGAAATCAAACAAAGTTTAAATACTGGACCCTATCTTGGACCAACTTGAAAACTGGGCCCATAATCAAAAATCTAAACACATGTTTAGATTCAGCATATCAAAGAACCCCAAGAATTCAATTTTTGTTAAAATCAAACTAAGTTTAATTTTGGACCCTTTGGACCTTAATGTAGACCAATTTAAAAAACAGGACCCAAAATTAAAAATCTAAATACACGGTTAGATTTGGAATATCAAAGAACCCCAATAATTCAATTTTAGATGAAATCAAACAAAGTTTAATTTTGGACCCTTTTGACCTCAATATGAACCAATTTGATAACGGGGTCCACAAATAAAAAATCTAAATACACGGTTAGATTCAGCATATCAAAGAACCCCATATATTCAATTTTTGTTGAAATCAAACAAAGTTTAATTTTGGACCCCAATTTGGACCAACTTGAAAACTGGGCCAAAAATCAAAAATCTAAGTACATGTTTAGATTCAGCATATCAAAGAACCTCATGTATTCAATTTTTGCTAAAATCAAACAAAGTTTAATTTTGGACCCTTTGGACCTTAATGTAGACGAATTTGAAAACTGGACCCAAAATTAAAAATCTAAATACACTGTTAGATTCGGCATAACAAATAAATAAATGTGATCAAAGATTTTACAAATCTAATGCGCCATACTGTGCAATTAAAGATTACTTCTTGAAATTTTTCAATATTTGAAATTTGAAAAAAAAATAATATTTGAAGAATAATTCTTTTTATAATTTCTGAAATCTGAAATGAGAAAAAATTGACCCCCCACAATTTCTTTTTATCCCCCCCCCTTTTTTCCCCAAAAAAATTCTTTCCCTCAAGATATGGTCATAATCTCAATTCAAATTTCCAATGGAGTTGGCAACCATAATTACCCATTTAAATTTACCATAGTGCTAACTTAATCTATTTTATAATAGAATTAAAAATATAGTGTCAAATCTTTCATATGGATTTTTTGTAAAAAAAAAAAATGCAACATTTGCAGATATTTTTACTGGTCTTCCTTTATAAATATGTATTTCTTTAAACATAATTTAAAAGCAGTGTAAGGGAAGTAACCAAAACGTTGTATTTGGATTACCTCCCTTACACTGTTTTAAATTATCTTTATTGTTCATTAACCATTACTTTATACATAATTTAAAAGCAGTGTAAGGGAGATAATTTCAATGATGTATTTGATTTATCTCCCTTACACTGCTTTAAATTATGTTTTGTACTAAAGTATTTGTCCATTAACCAGGACAACCTTGTTTTTCCCCCTTTTTTGCCCCTAATTCCTAAACGGTTTGAGCCATAACCCCCCAAAGCAAATCCTAACCATCCCTTTGTGGTATGGAAACTTGTAGTATAATTTCAGAGAGATCCATACACCGTTCCACAGTTATTGTCTGGAAACTAGAAAATGCTCATTTTTGGCCCCTAATTCCTTAACTGTTGGTACCATAACCCCCAAAATCAATCCCAACCTTCCTTTTGTGGTATTTAACCTTATGGTCAAATTTCAAAAAGATCCATTCACTTAAACTAAAGTTAGAGTGCGAAAACCAATATGTATTCGGACGACGACGCTGGACGACGACGACGACGCCGGACGACGACGACGACGACGCCAACGTCATACCAATATACGACCACAAAATTTTTTTGCGGTCGTATAAAAATTACAGTCTTAATATACATGTATAAATTAACTTTTTTGTTTTGTCACTAACAGCCTAAATGAAATGACAAATAATGTGAACAAATGAATGCCAATGTTCTCCCAAATTGTTGATCACTAAATTATATGGTGTTGGTTACCTCTTCGCTTGCGTTTCAAATCATGATTTAGTTGCTGCAGTGTGAATTGATTTTTATTTGTTGTATGCTTTAAAGGGTTACAGAAAACCACAAATTTATATATATGTTCATGGAAATATAACCTCTTCACTTCAGTTTTTTTTTCAGATTTGAAAGTAGTAAGAGTCTTTTTTATCCATGATTTAGCCTTCACAAGCAATGGCTGGAAATTTGATATTGATTGCAAAATGTTACTTCAATTTTTTTCAAGAAAGAAAGAAACATCTTAGTAATTTTGTTACAACAAACATGACAAATATTAATTAGGCAATCAAAATTTAGCAAATCTAAAATTAGCAAACATTTACAACATTTGCAGTACATGACATTGTACAAAAACGACAAAATACTAAAAACTTTATGATAAAACAGCAACAAAAATCACCAAAAATAAGGTTAACATAATTATTTTCCCACTTATTATATTAAAACTCACAATGTGCTAATAAGAATATTACAAAAATATGAATGTTCTGCTATTTTATAACAACATTATTCTTACCTTGTTATTTTCCTGTATAGATATATCCCTGAATGATTTAAGTAGTGGTAAGCCATGCTCAGCCTGTACTGCATTCTGAACCTGTAGCTGAAACTTCCCAGGATGACGTCGGCAAAATTCCCGGCCAAAAGGGACAAAGTCCTGGGTGTCACAGGCCGCTATCATATCATCGACATCCAGGTTGACAGGTTATATATATCTCAAACTGAAAGGCAAGTAATACTAATTAATATAAAAAAAATATTATCTGATACTAATGAAATGTCGATTGTTGTTAACATTGTTAGAGTTTTCCATAGAAAATTTTAAAAAATAAAGGGGAGTGCAAAACACAAAAAAGCATGGTGCAACAAAAGTGAAGAATATTGAGAGAATTTTTAACAAATTGTGGAGAAGGGAAATTAAATACTTGATGGAAAAAATGTATGTACCATCTTTTAATGTGCATACTACGCCTTTCCAAAGTCAGGAATCTGTAAATTAGTGGTTGCTGCAGGCAATATTTGATTTTGGCTTATTGTTTTAACATAAATCTGTTATCTGGTTTAGTTGTTTGAATTGGTTCACATTTGATCACATGATCATCATGCCTTAGTTTTTTCTCATCATTGTACTCTGGCCTGACTGGGTATCGTTTTAAAAGTTAGTGAAGAGTTCCAATAAGACATGACTAGTGGCAAGATACATAAATTTTGTTCCAGAATAGCCTCAAAATCTTACGCAATATGATATTTTTACTTATTATTTCATCATATTCATGAGCATGCGCAAATAGTTCCTATATTATTTGAAAAGAATTGAGGTTAAATGAATCTATTTTGATGGGAACTCTCAAAAGATTTTAACGTGGATGTTATTGCTATTTTCAAGACATTTACTAGACAAGAAATGAAACTAACATCATCATAGATAACTCATTGATGATGCAATGGTAGTTGGTACAAACCTTGCATCATCAATGATATAGTGTTGATCTATATGTAATATAACGGGAGTGAAGTTTCCTACTCGAACTTCGTTGTCTTTCCGTTGTCTACCCAAGTTCTGGGATATTTGACAAACTATAAAACCACGTAGATATAAACAAAATGTTTATTCAAAAGACATATATAAGTTATGGTTGAATACAAGAAATATTCAGTACTTATACAAATACGGTGGCGGCTAGTCTACTTGTCGTATAAATAGAGGTTCCATATCGAAGAGCCCAAAGGATGAGCGTCTGCTCATTTCAAATCCTAAGATGTAGACTGCCCTGAACCCGGTGAGTGACGTCATACTTATAGTTCCTAGGGACAACGAGCCCTGCCGATCCGGATGTCAGGCACATGCAAGAAGTCCTGACAAGAATAATTACATGGCCGGTCTTGGAAGAAAGAGTTACGGAACTATAAATAATACTACAATAACCAAGTTCCCCAACGAAATAGTATAATTAACAAGTAAACAAAGTGACCACCATTACACTAACTTAGTGAACAAGACACTATTGTTAATCAGATTGTCTGATTGGTAACACTTTCAGGGCTTTCTGTAGGTTGGTCAACAATTTCCAATATTATTGCTATGACCTTACAAATTTCATTTGTGCAGGTGTGTGCTTCGTTGTTTTGTTTGTAACTGTTTTTGTTGAATGTGTTTTTTTTAAGTTCCATCATAACGTGTGTATGCCAGTCTATAAATTTTATTATTCAAGATGTTAAGGTTCATCATAACAAACGGACAAATATGGCTGTATTTACACGTCAAAAACTACTCTGAGTACAGACTTAGCATCCACTAGATATATAAAAGTTAAATGCATTTTGTGTTTCAGAAAGATATAATCTTTTTTGGTTTTTGATGGGCATTTTTTTTCCTTTCTGCAGAAGGTGAAAAAATAAACAAACACCTGAGCGAATTACTTTGATACTGTCCACTCAGTTAAACCCTTTAACTCACCTATAGTTGTGTAGATACCTGTTGTCCATGCCAATCAAGGACAATCAATACAATACAATACAGTTTTTACCTGAGAGGGAGCATCTCAAAGTTGTATCACAACTTAGTTAATTTTTACACCTTCTGCATGAAGCCTTTGAAGGGAAAAAAAAATGCCCATCAAAATCCAAAAGAGATTTTATCTTTCTGAAACACAAAATGCATTTAACTTTTATATATCTAGTGGATGCCAGGCATTAAAACTGTTCCAACTGGACAGGTAAGTCTGTACTAAGAGTAGTTTTTGGCATGTAAATACAACCATATTTGTCCGTTTGTTATGATGAACCTTAAACATAATATTCTTTACCAGTAAAAAAGCATTGGTTTGTAATTCGTCTTTATACATCCAGGCACAGTTCCTTAATGGTGTTTTGTTTTCTTGCGCTATATATAAACAAAGTCGTACAGAGGATAAGCACTAATGTATCATGCTTAGATGAAAATCTTTGCTGTTCGAAAAAATCTGCCAAATTGTGAAACCGGAAAACATCAAAGTAATATACAAGACAAATATCGTTCAACTATGAAACACATCCGGATTTATCTGTAAATTAGGGCGAATTTAGACGACATGTTGGTCATTGATATAGTGAGATCTTTCATTGAACATGTATGTCCCGTCTTGCTCAGAGGTGCTTGGGGAATTGCCCACTTTTCTATATATCAATATAATTTTTTATGTTTTCATTTTTTAATAAATAGTCTTTAATCATTTAATTTTTAACTTATTTTCCGCTGGTGGGTCAACATATTTAGTGTGTTCTAGCTCTTATCCATACGATTTTGCTATGCATCATGTATAAACTGCTGTAATAGTAAAATCGTATAGCTATGAACAAGAACACATTAAATATGCGAAAATAAGTAAAATTATAAAGGAATATGAACTAAATAATTAAAACATAAATAGATATTTGCAGGGGCGGATCCAGAATTTTAGGTGTGGGAGGGGGTGGTGGCAAAATTATCGAAATATTCTTCTAAAGTGGGTATACAATCCATACTTTGCAAAATTTAGGGGGCGCACGCCCGCCACGCCCCCGCCTGAATCCGCCCTTGCTTTATAGAAAAAGGGGAGTCCTTTCTTGAAGCGACTGTGTAGAAAAAAACAAAAAATTCGAAGCCACCCAATAAAAAGGCCGCTGTCAGTATGTATTGAACTGCTATTTAAATCAGGTCATACACAGCTCTTAGTCAAAGGTACAGTTAGTTTGACACAAGATGCATAGAACATGCTTAGTCGATCAAAATTCACGTCAATATAATAAACCTTTGATGAAATCGAAAGATTTGGGATGCATCTTTGAACCCAATCCCTACTGCTTAGATATTTATGAGAAAACAAATCAGATACTGAACAAGAAGTTATAATGATTACACTGCCTAAAAGAAACAAGACATAAAGTTTTATTTATATCCACGGTCTATATGTATATACAAGACAAATAATCAAACAGAAGATTGGGGAGCAAGGGCAGTTGTCAATATGCATCTCTTTTTAGAGCCACACTATCAATTCATCAAGAGTTTAAATTGTTTTCATGTAGCAGTTATCAAAGGTACCAGGCTTATAATTTGATACGCCAGACGAGCGTTTCGTCTACATAAGACTCACCAGTGACGCTCAGATCAAAATAGTTAGAAAACCAAACAAGTATCATGATTTTACGCAATGGAAAGAAAATTATTAACAACACAACTTCTAGGATATCCACGTGCTTAAACAAACGTATATGTAATGCCTCTACAGCCAGATTGTTTAACAAAAATGCGCGTGGATATCCACAAATTTTCCCGTGCAATGCCAAAAAGTGACTAACCTGTTTTAGATTAACTTCACTAAATACTGTACGGTCAACAGTGAACGGGAGAGCTTTTTCGCTCTCCTTTTCCTGTGACATTACCTGAAAAACTCAAAACCTTATATATGTGGTAACTTGAACCCAACCTGAGTGTGGTATTCAATATGTGGGACAGACGGGACGAGCGTATTACAAAAGAAATCAAGAACACCTTTACCGCTTTCGTAGACCTAAAAAATTCAAAAGTTTGATATATCAACATTTAGATAAGCATAATCACAATCTAAAATTTATTAAATTCCAACCACTTGAAACCGTTCAGAAACAACCAGGAGAATCACACAAGCAATTTGAAAAATCACGTGAAGTTCGCGAATTATTTTGGATAAAAAGACTTCAAACAGCTTATCCTCTCGGTCTTACTGACAAAATATTAGGACAGGGGAACATAACTAAAACTTCAATCGATGTCATTAATATTGTCGATGAACGACTTAGAAATAAAAGGTCTCATGGCAAACGCAAAAACCGTAATCAACGTATTAAACATCGTATAAATTATACACTTGCTGATCTGTTATCTATAATAAAAAATAATGGCAGACATCAAGTATTATGCAAACTGGGTCAGATACCAATAAGTAAGTTATATGCTATTTTTCTGGAGTGTGATACAATTTCTTTTTTTAGCCCAATGTATGAATACACCCGTATTGTTACAGCCTTTTGTCATCATAGGCTATTTCCTAGTATCGATAAACCTGAAAATCATAAACAGCATTTTCTTAAATTAAAATATATAAATAGAGGTATTGATTTTATTAACTTATCTAGTATATTCAATGACTCTACCATCCAAAGCCAAATCCCTCCATATTTTGATAATAAAGAACCACCTATTATTTTGTATTCTTATAAAAAAAACCCAGCAGAAGTTTGATTTTTAATTATACGTCAGTTACATCGGACGTCAATATAGAAAATAATGTTCCTTCCACTTGAGATTGTGAAACATCTAGTTTTAGATTTGTTCCCTATGGTCATGTCCTTACAGGAGACCTCAACATCGTCGAAGACCGTGAGGTCATAACTTTTCTTAAGAAAGGACCGAAATATCGTCCTCCATCTAAAATAGATTGGAAACAGTGTCGTCAGATCATTAAAGACGCTCTGTCTGTCTACTGTAAAAATTGGTGTAAACGTGAAAAATCTGATAAAAAATCTCTAGACAGTTATTTGAATAAAATTATGAATACTGTTAATATTCGTATATCTCATTTTGAAAACAATTCTGAAATTAGTAATAGGGTCCATGATATATCCATTTCCAGAATAAAAAATAAACTCCAAGTACTCGCAAAGCGGTTTGTGTTCGTACCGGCAGACAAAGCAGCAAATAATGTAGTGGTGGTGTGACGCATATACTACACGGAAGTTCTTCAAAACGAAATTACAAATTCATCTACATTCAGGTCCGTACGCTCCACAGAGGATCAAATTGTAAACAAGCATATCACTGCCACTACCCAGCTTAAGGCCTCTTCCGAACATTTGAAAGTCCCTACTATGTACTGGTTACCTAAATTGCACAAAAAACCATTTAAATTCCGTTTCATCTCCGCATCTAGTAAGTGTTCTACTACTAATCTATCAGTGCTTCTAACTACCTCCCTTACTACTATCAAAGAACTTGTTATTAACTTTTGTAATAAAGCTTATGAAAATAATGGTATTAATTATTTTTGGAGTGTTAAAAATTCTTTAGAGGTTTTAAATAAAATACATGCTTTTGATGGTCCTTTTAATTCTGTTGACAGTTATGATTTTCTACTCTCTATACTACACTTCCACACAATCTTATCAAGAAAAAGTTTTCATATTTAATTAAATGGTCTTTTGAAAAATCTCATTACAAATTTATTTGCTGTAACTCGTTTAAAGCCTTTTTCTGTAACGAAAAAGGAAAGTATGCTAGATACACTTACTGGAAATGTGAAGTTATGATTGAAGCTTTAATTTTTCTCCTGGACAACATATATGTACGTTTCGGCGATAGAATGTATCGACAGGTAGTAGGTATTCCTATGGGCACTAACTGTGCCCCTTTAATAGCAGATTTATTCCTGTATTGCTATGAATCTCAGTTTATGACCAAACTCAGTAAAGACACGTCATTGTTACATTTGGTTGATACATTCAACAATTCCTTCCGTTATCTAGGTGATATTTTTTCGTTTAATAATCCAGAGTTCTCTAAATATACTACCGAAATTTACCCAATAGAACTTACTTTAACTAAATCTAACATAAACAGAAGTAGTTGTCCTTTTCTGGATTTGGACATTTCAATCTCTAAAGGAAAACTCCATACGAAAATTTACGACAAAAGAGACGATTTTCCATTCCCTATTGTTAATTTTCCTTTTTAGACGGCGATGTTCCTTTGGCTCCATCATACGGTGTATATATATCCCAACTCGTTCGTTATGCCCGTGTGTGTAGTGATGTCATAGATTTTAACGAACGTAATCAATGCATCACTGGTAAATTATTAAATCAAGGATTTCGTTACCATAAATTACGTAAAACTTTTGCTAAGTTCTTTCATAGATACAAAGATTTGATTAGTAAATTTGGCTGTACTTGTAGAAAACTGATTAAAAACGGTATTTCACATCCTAAATTTTACGGTAATATTGTACTTAAAGCGCGGAAATCACTATGTGATCCGTGTAAACTCATCGAACCTTTAAACAGGCTTTTTAGTATAGGTTATCTTACCAATGTTGTAATTAGATCTTTGAATATAGTTTACATTGGCACTAATATCGATTTTGTCATCAGCAAATTAAAACATAACTAAATTTGTTTTATTTTCAAGTGGGATGTATAAAGACACACCCACGTTCGTTTAGATCTATAAAGAGGTTACACTCCTAACTATCCTACTGTCTGTCGATACATTTATTTTTGGCATTGCACTAGTCATGTCTTCTTTGACTGTCCATGACGTTAAAATACTAAATCCCTGGGATGTGTTTTAGTTGATTTTAGTCTCTGATGCATGATTTTTTATTATTAATTGTTTTGGCTTTTAACTAGCTGTCAGTAACTGCGAGTACTCTCAAATCGTACTTTCTTGTTTATTTGACCTGTTGATACTAATTGTATTGCTTTTTTTGTTATTTAATGTTATTTAGGGTTATATCTGGTCTATATACCAGCTTTGATAAGTGTTTGGTATAACTATAAATTTTCACTTCGTACTATGAACATCAAAATTATTTATTTTGTAAAAATATTTCCTTTCTCTATTGGTACTGTACACGTATACCCAACAACAAAATTATTTTCATTTACCTGTGTTTAGATTAAGTTATTGCAAATGGATGGTATTTTTGTTCGAGCATATTGTTTTTCTTTAATTGTTTAACATTTCTAACCGATATAACATGTTACTTTTATTATTCTTCCCTTAGTTTATTTATTTTGTATTCAAAATTATTTATTTTGTAAAAATATTTCCTTTCTCTATTGGTACTGTACACGTATACCTAACAACAAAATTATTTTCATTTACCTGTGTTTAAAGTTATTGCAAATGGATGGTATTTTTGTTCGAGCATATTGTTTTTCTTTAATTGTTTAACATTTCTTACCGATATAACATGTTAC